TGGAATTCCGGCCTTCCTTTTAGACCCGGTGCCCAGTTCAGCTCCGGTCTTCCCCAGAGCGCCATGTCCAGCTGCGTGATCTCCTCCACCACCAGCCAGTTCAGCTTTTGCGCGCTGCCGCCGCGCACACCCAGTGGTCGGCCGTCTGCGCCCCCAGCCCCAGGTTCTGCGCGGAGCAGTGTGTCTTGGAGCCTCGCTTTTAGACCGAGGATTACGAAAGCTTGTGTCACGGGGCGACACGGACTGTGGGGCGCCTTGGGGGCTCAAGCGCTAGCAGCTCCCTTGTCTCAGTGGTTAGAGCGCTGTCTCTGCACCGCCCTGGTCCGGGGCTCGATTCCCGCCTGCGACCGGGCAACCTTTGCCCATTAATGAGCCAATATTGTTTCAAGCTGTTTCAATATTGACCCAAGCTTGCCAAGATTTTCGAGCCCTGGAAGTTCGGCAGGTTGCCATGTTAGACCCGGTGACAAAGGCGTTCGGCAGATTGGCGTATTAGGCGACAAATACGTTCGGCAGGCTGCCGCGTCAGACCCGGTGACGAAGGCGGCGACAAGTTCGGCAGGTTGCCGTGTCACGAGCGAGGACCTTGGCAGGCTGTCGTGCTTGGGCGAAAAACGGAAAACCCTGTGAAGAACGAAGTCCTCTGGAACTCGGGAGCTTGGCCGCTTTTGCGCACTTTTTCGGCCCAAAAGAGAGCGGTGACGAAGCGGTGACAAGTGGTGACAAGCTCAGCGGGATGAAACTTGCCTGCTTTTCCGGGCAGAAAACGGAATCGAGAGCAAAGTGAGCGTCTGGAGCCTGTTTTCGACCGAAACCGAGCGAACCTAGAGGCTGAGGCACCCCACTTGCCGTCTGACACGAGGCTGTTTTGAGCACTTTTTGCACAGCGGTGACAAAGACCGGTGACATCGGAAAAACGTTCAGCAGGATGCAGAATTTGGCTGTTTTGCAGGGTTTTTCGGCCCAAAAACGAAAATAGTTAGGGTGCTATAAGCTGATGTTCCTTACTACTCTCAGCCTTGCCTTGTGTGCCGCATGCACACCAGTAGGTTGTCCGCAAAGCATCCTACAGCAACCAATGCCTTCGATTGTTTAACGCCTCACAGGTAATACACCTGGCGCTTGGTCGAACACGCCCTGTTGCGCGGGGCATTTGAGAAGGCTCCGCAGGGGGGTGGGGACACGGGGAAAGGACACACACTGTCTTTCTGCACCCCCGAGCCTTAACTTCCAAGCAACGCCTTACAAAGAAAAAGTGCGAGCGCACCCTTTGTCGGTCGTTCTTTTTTGTCTCTTGATGCATGTTCCCTTACGGATTGAAGCAGTGATCAAGATTCTAACTGGTGCATTCTGTTTGTCAAGAATGGCTTCCTTTGGCGCAAATTGAGTTCTGTTTAAAACGCATCTTTTTTAATGCCACTTCTAGAACTCCATCCAATCTGCTTGCGTAAAATGGCGTCTCCGCTAAAGCGAGTTGCGTGAATTTCTGCAACATAAAGTGGCAAAACAACGAAGAGGCTGCTGCAACTGTAATTTTGCGGCATGCGGCAGCTCTAGTGTGTTTGCGGAGCATTTTGCTGGGTGCCGTGTGGCTGGCAGCTGCTTTCTTTCACTTGCGGAGTGCCGAAGGGGGTTCAAGCTCAACAGTCGTTTTAGCAAAGATTCAATGGTAACGATAGTACCGCAACAGAAGACTTATTAAGTCAGACACGGGAAACCCGTCTTAAGCAGAATGTTCATTCAGAAGCGCAGGACCCAGTCCTTAGATTTGAGCACGGAGATGCACGTGGAGTTTGGGCAGCGGGTCCATGGCAAGCCTGTGGCTGGCAAAATACAATGGAGGATTGATCATCTTTCCGCCCGACATGCTGGAAGCGCTTTTCCAGTTTTCTTTCGATCTGGTGTTCATGTGCCACGCCAAGACAGGCGGGCAAGTGCTAGCGCGCACGCGATCATGTCAGACTTAGGGGGGTGTTGTTTGGCCGCCTCAGCGGCAAGTGGGTAACCCCCATTTCATAAACTCCACGATTAAAATGGAGGGTTAATTTTCTAAAGGCAGAATTGAAAAAACGCATCCGTGGCATATTCCAACCCCTTCTTCGTTTCATGGCTGTTCCGTAAACCTTGACCGGGCCGCAAACACTTGCGCCATGACGGAGTGTCGCCACTGACAGATGCTGCGGGCAATGCTTTCAATCCATTTACAAAAAAGTACTCTTTGCAACCTTGGAAGACGTTGCGCTGGAACTGAAGGCGGTTAATGTACGAAAACAATATTTAGACACCTAAGAAGGACATGGTGCACATATCGCTGCAAGCAGAGGACGGGTTCTTAAGTTTTCAAGTGCGCACAACCAACACGTTTCTGGCAGCGTTGACCCCCGTCCCGCTGCCAAGCAGTTGTGCGTGGCATGTCTGCAAGTGGGCAGGCGGAACGTGATTTTCAGCTGTTGCTTGTGCCCTTGCTGCTGACGTGGCTGCATTGATCCCAGGTCATGTTCAACGTCTTTTTGAGTGGCATCCATGCCAAACTTGCTTAAGTTGCGCAGAGCTGGCAAAGAGCTTTATCAACTGCCAAAGTGCAAAACGGTTTTTGGCACACGGCTCAAGCGGCTCAACCAAAAAGAGGTTTCAGCTTTTTCTAATGGGCATTGCAAAAACTTTGGTCGACTTTGTAAAGATTGGGCACAGAGCCTTGTCTTGTCAGATTTTGGGGCCGTAGCGCCAACAAGTGAGCGTTGCCTCATGTCCATTGCCAACTAAAACGGCATGTGTTTTTCTTGTTTTCTCTGTTTGGTTCTTGGGCTGGCGACTGAATGGCGGGAACAGGCCGGTAGGGGGGTGCATCAGTGGGGTGTTGCCGGTCTTCAAACGCACGCTTCGGGTGTTTATTCTCTTGTTTGTTTCTTACTGGTCCACGCTAAATAGGATTTTTTTTCATTTCTCTACCATGACAGGCCGCAGCCCGTGTGATGTTTCGATTTACGGTGCATGCCAAAGTATTCGACAGCATATCCTGCCGCACAGATTCATGATTGCCATGATTTTATACCGCAGCGACGAGTACTGGTCGTAGGTGTGACCTTGAAGGGTCGTAGGTTGGCCTGTTAGGCTCGTAGGTGGGCGCCTGCCATGCAGGTCTGGAGGTTGTAGGCCTGATTTTCACATTGGTGGTGTTGCCCTGCCAGTAGGTGACCTTCCAGTGTAAGGCTGTGAAGGCAGTAGGTGTGGCCTGCCATGCGGGTCTGGGTCGTCTGCGTTTTGCAATGGTTTGAGACGCCATTCTAGCAAGTTCGAGGGCAAAGTTTGATCCTATTAGAAGGAGAAAGGCAACGAAGAGGGCCAGTTTTTTGCGCCGCAAGTGAAGTGAAGCGCAAATTAGTGCCGCCAGGCAGGGCCTCCAATGTTCGCTGTGTCATGCGCTTTGGCTCGGCCGGGGCGGTTCATGCGGCCCTCGCTGGCCTTTTTGGGATCGTTGTTCTCGCTTCGGGAATTTGCTGTAGATCTCTCTGCATTGCCGTGTCAGTCTTAAAGCTGCCATCCGCGCCCCTTCAGTTTCCCTGCTCCCCTTCTGTTTCGCTGCTCTCCAATTGCGCTCTCCTCTTGCTACCTGTTGGTGTGCATGTTCTTCCATGCCCTTCGGCATCTGTTGAATGTGTAGCCTGACTTGGCCACTTTACTGACTTGCCCCACCCTTTCTTGCCTTCTTGATGTGTGGCAAATCTTCATAAAGTAGTCGTTGCTTCTCGAAGCGATTACTGCTTGGCGAGAGCATCACAGGTGGTGTGTGTGTGTGTACCAGCCATGTGGCGGGCGTTGCCGGTGGACTTTATTGTATATATGGTGAGAACTTTACCGCGACGCCCAGTGCAGCTCGCTTGACAGTTGGCCTTTCTGGCTACAGTGGTCGCCTTATTTGGTCATGTTATCGCCTTCCGTGGTCTAGATCAACTTAAGTACCATCGGAAAATTGCTTAGCTTTGAAGAGGTGACAATGGTGTTTGGGTTGAGGATGGACATAACAATTGCTAGGCGTTTCACCCTTTCTTGCATGACCCTTGAGATGTTGAGCGCAGATCCTGCTAACTCTTAGTAACAGCACAGGGTTGCTCGTTATTTTTAGATGCAACTTCGGTTGCTGTTCTGTCGCGATCTGACCTTCTTTGACTGTTTTTGGTGTTTTGTTCCCCCCCCCCCCCCCCCGTTTTTTTTGGTTTGTGTTTGTTAGTTGCTTCTTGTTTGGTTCCCCTTGATGGTTGCTCTCTGGCTCCACCGCTGCTGGGGCCGTGGTATTTATTTTCCTTTGTTTGCGTCGTACATAGCTGATCGTCTTTCCAGACACTGGCAGCGAGGTGTAAACAATGAACGGGAAAACCCTCCAGACTGGTGCGATCTTCGTATGACTACTGTCCACCAAAAGTTTCTCCCGTGACTAGTTAGGCCTTTCAAACGGAAATTTAGACCACCATTCTACAATTCAGGAAGCAATCGGCACCAGGATCCCTCATGATCGTCGTCGTCATCATCATGATCATCATGATGATCATGATCACGATCATGATCATCACCATCATGATCATCATGATCATGATCACCATTATCATCATGACCAGCATAATCATTATCATCATCGTCGTCATCACCATAATCACCATAATCATCATCATCATCATCATCATCATCATCATCATCATCATCATCATCATCATCATCATCATCATCATCATGATCTTTAAGTCGTTTTTATTGGGACTCGCCCACAGCGCAGCCTCTTCCAAAAGGCTCCAAAGGTCTTTGGCACAGACTCGTTTTTCTTTTGGCTGCACGATCATCAGCACCTTACTATGGCCTTGCGACACCCATTGTAGGGGTTCCTATTCAGGGGCCGGCACCCCGCATTTGGGGAGTTTTGGTCCGAAGAAAATGTTCGGCTGAAAGCAAAAGGCACCAAAACGGAGCCTCAAAAGTACAGTTCATTCAGCTGGCCCAACCCACCTGAAAAGCCCCCGTTGGCAGGCAAGTTTTTAGGGCTTTCCTCGCCATGGATGCCGCTGGCGATCCGGACGGTCGGCATAGGAAGCTCTCCTTCATCGATTGACGCTCGATGGAAAGAAATGGATGGTTTGATCAAAAGGATCCGGTAGCATGGGATGACATTGGTTGGAAACCACTAGAAGGATTGACGCGTTCGACATGGACAAAGTTCCCCATGTCATGTGGGGACCAGGAATACTGATCAACCCCCAAATGCATCTTATCAGGGGACCCGGACTCAATGGGTCCCCTAATAAACGTGTTCCCATCGTTTGCACAGGACCATAGCTTTTCGCGTGGAGTATTTGTTAGAACTCATGTAGTTGGATTCCGTCTTTGGCTCCGTCATACGGTCTGCCCCTGTTTCCCAAGACCCAAGCTTGTGGCCAGGGAAGCGGGGTGGGGCTTGGATCCTACACACTAGACAAACATCTTCTTTGCATCTTGCTGGCCTGGCCCGGGGCCCATCAACAAATTGAGTATCCTCATTACCCTCGAGGTGTTTTGCAGGGACACCACGTGACTGAAGGTAATTTTGAGAGACCCAAGGGACCCAGTCGATCTTTGGTTTGACCTGATGGCAATTGGGCCTCAGGTCCTGTGACTGTCAAGCTGAAAAAGGGGGTCGATTGACCTAGGCTTTGGCCCATGCGCTCTTGAGGCGATGAGGAGGCGATTGGCGGTCTTCAGTCAGTTGTTTCTAGGCACTTGGAGACGTGTCGGATAGGCAACCACTTCCGAAGTAGCAGCTGCGCAACCCAAGGCAAGCTTCCCACCAAAATGAGGGCTGCCAACAGGTGATTTGCAACTGGGTTCCTCAAAGGAGTTGAGAAACCACCTTTTTCACCAGTTCGGTGCCAAAATGGAACCCTGGTAAGTGGAAACATGGACCAAAGCCTTAACCCCTCCTGTTTTATCTTTGAGCCACACCCAGGTGTTTTTTTTCCTTGCAGTTTGCAGGCGCCAGTTGGGATGGATGAAAGCCGAATTGCTTGACAAAAAGCCACCTACCCGATTGGTGTAGGATTTCGTCCAAAGCCATGATCGCAGGACAACCAGGTGTGTGTGAGAAAAAGCAACGTATATTACCCTTTGGGGGAGCTTTCAGGAAACCAGCAGCAGGAAACCTATGATTGTGGGGTCGCCCATGTCAAGACACACCCAACTGACGTAAAAAGAGAGAGATGTCTTTTTGGGTGACACTTTTTCCGAGGCAGTGCACATTTCCGGACAATGGAAGATCCGAACAAAATTATGAGGGACTGCAAGAGCTGCCATGAACCCACACCGAAGCGGATGTGGATTGTTTTGGGACAACTGGGGAGCCCTCTCACCCTCGCCGTCTCCGCGCCTTTAGTAGGTTTTACTACCTGGTTTAATCTGGATGATCGTAAGACCCACAAGAAAGCCATTATGACCATCTTAGTAGAACCGGCAGAGGGGGAGGGTACCAGGTACTTGGTCAGATGTACCCTGCGAAGAGAGAATTCCCGATCACTTTTGCGGACACACATACAGAGAAACACACACACACACACACACACACACACACACACACACACACTCACAGACACAAATACAGTGATCTGTGAGTTTGATCAGTCTGTGAGTGAAGAGATCTTGTTCGTTTTGGCGAAGGGCTCGTACTCCCCTTTTGGGGCAAACGGCACACCGGGACTTCCCATTTCGGAGATGGGACCCGGTCGCGAGTCGGTTTCGAGTCGGTTGCGAGGTTCTGTGGACCAGATCAAGTCGGCCATCACCTCTGAGTGGACGGACTGGCGCTTCAATGGCGTCTCGGTTTCGAATGCACAAAGAGGGCCTTGCCGGAATCTGGTCGCTTTGGCTTGGGTGCCTATTTGCTTGGGAGCTGTGTTGTGCAGGGTGTATTATTGTTTTTTGGTTGGTTGCTGTTGTTGGTGGCGTTCGGCACTTTTTGCACGCCTGTGTTTTTTGGGCTTGTTTCTGCCGCTGTTCCTCCCTCTCCAATATCTGGGGGGTCGTTTTCTTTTTGGCACACGCATTCCTTGCATCCCACTCTGAATCTTCCCTTTCAGCAAGGCTTCCGGTTTTGATGGCACAAGCCCGCAATTGAACCTGTGCTGATTTGTCCCAACAACTGTTGCACGTTGGCATATCCAACATCCTCGCCACGGTCGTTCTTGGAACAGCTACTTGTCCGCAAGCATGGTTGAACACTTCAGGGACATTTGGGGAGCCGCGGTCCGGCCCTCGGCGCGCAAGGCCTCTTAGTCTCCCTTTCCTTACTCTTGGATTGGGCCCCTCAAAATGTGACAACTTTGAGCCCCTCCAAAATTGAAACAACACTTTCCTTCCCCTGGTTGTTTTCAGGGTCTCACCCCCCAACCGCAGACGTGGGAAACCTGGGGCCGAAGGCGGGTTCTGGTCCACGGTGCTCACCACGGAGCCGGCGCCGGAGTTCAAAGCCGTCCACAACCGGCGCGGCCCATCGGTCCGTCGGTCGACGTGGGCGGTCGTTTTGGTCGGTCGACGTCGGGCGGTCGTTTGGCGCTTTTCGTTTTCGGGGTCGGACGAAAAGGTGGGGCGACTCGGTTGGGCCCAGAAGTTGCGGCAAGACATATGGCTCTGTCTTTTTTTTTGTTGCATGGAGCTCTTTTTGGGGTTGGTTTGAAGGGAAGCCAAGACGAAAATCAGGATATACTTTTTTTTTGGGTGTCCCTAAAACATACCTACCCACACCCAGAGATGCTTTTTTGGCCAGATGACCAAGCCATCTTTGGTCAAGCCTCATTTTGGTCAAGGGTTTGCGTTGCGGCTCGATACCCTTGTTGAGCTGTGGTTTAAGGCAGGGCAAATCACAAACGGCGGGATGGCAGACAAGAGGGTCAAAGGCTGAATGATGCTGCATGACAGGATTGGGCATGCGGTTTCAGCAAACAAATCAATCTGTGTTTTTTTTTGAGGCCAACAAGGTTGTTTTTGCCATCACTTAAAGTGTGGATATCTTCCCAAAAGGTATGTGAACAGCTCCGGCCAAGGGTTCCTCGTGAAGAAGTCACGCCCCTTGAAACGATGGAGGTTTGAACATGATGCAACAAAGGGTTGGCCCAACCGTGATGGACTGAAGCACCAGGAACCGCCAATGCGTCTCTCCAAATTGGGGGCGTCCGCAGCCCAAACGATCCTTATGTTGTTTTGGAGGCTTCCTTGGTCGTTTTCGGGGTTGGTTTGTGGAAGAAACTGCAGGGATAGACTTGTTCTGGGGTCCCTCAGTCTTGAGCGTCAATCATTTTTCGGCCGTTTCCTTTTTGGACCGGCGGGGTACGTGCCGCTTTTTGGAAGACCAATTTGATAATCCACCATGTCACAGCTGCAGTGGGGGAGGTTTTTCCGTAAAACCACGCATTTTTGGCTCTCATGGGCTGCCAAGGACACCCAAAGGAGGTTGTTTAGCAATAGTGTTAGTGGTCGTGGGTGGGCGATTCGGTTGGGTAGACTTGAAGTTCATTCCAACCTGCAGCCCGATTCCTCTGTCCCCCGTGCTTCATGCTCTATATCCCTACATCTCATGTCCTACACCTCATCTCCCATATCTAATCCCTTTCTTTCTGATTTGCTTGAAGTACTCCTCTGAAGGCAGTCCTAGCATCTCCTTTGCCACTGGTGTTGCCTTCCTTTTGCTTCCTTCCGGCCTCAAAGTTCCCAATCGCCCGAAGCGAAAGTGCGGGCCAATCGTTATTCTCGTGAGAAAACGTGTGTCGTGCCGTTTTCCCCCGGTTGGAACCCACAATTCATGGCCGGCCTTTGCTCAAATCGCCCCTTATACCTTTTGGGCCCAAGGTGAGCGATGTTCTTTGCTTCGGGCGGGCTTGAGCAACCCTCAGTCGCCTGCCGGGCAGCTTTCGGGTTTCTGAGAGGCTGAATGATTGCTCATATTCTGCGTATATAACTGATCTACTGCGAACAGTCTGCTCCCTATGCTGCTTCTATCTGCTACTAACATTCACTATCTTGGGTTTAAGGTATCCCACAATCCCATTCTAAATGTTTTGGCCGATGGGATTCTCTTTGGGGGCGCCCTGTGGTCAATCATCCTCACTCTGAAGATGAGGAGGTTACTCCTTTGCAAATTCACTGGGTTGCTCCAAAAAGATTCCTCCAAAGGATATCCCTCCCCAAATGTGTTTTTCTTTTCAAAGTTGAGGCTGTGTCGGTTGAAGGACATTAGAATCTATGAATCTACTCCAAGGATTCCAACCCCTCCCCTCCCCCACCCCCCACCCACCCCTCGTTTCATGGTTTCGCTTTGCCAAGACTCAATTTCCGCAAGTTATTTCGTTTGTTGTTCCTGCAGAAGCCAATCTTCAGGATTTTCTTCCATTCCCTGCTCTTCCAATCATTGCTTGTTGTGGGGGAATATGGGTGTGGGTCAAAAAGTAGGTGCAGCAAATGGAGCCCTGGTAAATGGAAAGAAGGACTGACACCTGCGGTCCCCTGGTCTCATGACTCACTCGGGGTTTGGCGGAAAGGGGCGCTGCGCGGCAGGACGCTGGAGTTCTGGATCCACTGCTTCAATCGGCCGCTGGAATTTTTTTCATCCGTTTCGGAGGGAACACCGGGGCACCGTCATTTCCTGTGGTTTTTCATGGGAACGCCACTGAAAGTGAGACTTTGGTAGCAGGGATGGACATCCCATTGTGGTATCACCCGAAAGGCAACTGTTTTCCAAGCAAGCGTTGCCGGAGTTGCTAGAGGATCGAAGCCTACAACCCGAAGGATTTCCAGGTGACATAGTGTGGACGAGCCCGCGAATTCCTTTTCGCATTAAACAAAAAAACAACAACAACCAAGGGAATGCTTGGATTCCCATGTAAATAACAAGAAACGATTTGAGATCAATTATGGTTGGATTCCCATGTAAATAACGAGACACGATCTAGTTTCAATTATGGTTTCCTTTCGTGGTGGGAACGGATTTCGCAACCATCCGCTCTATGACCAAGCCTACACCTTCCAAAGGCCGCTGCGGTTTTACGCTTTTAGGTTTGCTCTGCGGTTTCCAGCCATACTTTGGACTCTCAGAGAGAGTGTTGCAATTCCATTTATTTAGTGTTCGGTATAACAGGGGAATGGAGCTATAAATTGAATTCCAGGGGTCAAGCAAAATACTTCTGGCACGGATCTTCAACAGTTTTCTCTGGGCTTTTGTTTCAAAGCTAGTTCCTGTGAGCGGCAGGTCCAATTGAGCTCAAAAATGGGTTGGTGTCCTTTCGGTTTCCCTTTAAACCTCCCTTAAAGACACACACAGATACAAACACACACAGAATTCCAGCTCGTTGCAAGCAATGAGCCCAAAAGCCGGTTTTGGAGGTCAGGCTGCTTGGGATGGGGGGGGCGCTGGTGATGTTGCCCATTTTGCTGAACTTTCTGACCAATGACTCCATGCCGAATTTTGTTTGCGTCACAGGGATTGGACCTCACCTCTCAAATTGGTAGTGATATTTTTCCTGAGTCCCTTGATTTATCGATCCGACTTGTCTTCCAGTGAATCACCGAATGGCCCAAACAGGGAAGACCGGCCGTTCATTTCGTGGAACTTCATAGCTTTTACGGTACCTGCTCCTTCCACACAAAACAAAATCTGCTTTATGCGGTTCACGGATTTGCTGAAGGTTGTTCGTGCAAACAAACAAACATCCATCGTGCGGAGCTGAGTGCTCCGGATTGATCCGAAGTTGACGTAGGCTATGTATGGTACGTTTCCGTGATTCGCCTACCCAGAGAACACCTCTTTCGACCAATGGCAGCAACATGACTCATACAAATACGTGGGTCAAAATCAATGATACGATTTTAGAATTCACCACCCATTTTAGTCTACTTTAGTGGGGATTGGGGTGTTCACTGGGGGTACGATTTGGATTTTGACCCCCGGCCAAAAAAAAACCTCACCAGGAAAGTCTTAAGGAACCAGTGATATATGGGCGATCTCGTGGAAGTGTTCAGTCGAAGCACTGCTACCTCTTGGTTTCCTAGGAGTTGGGCTTTGGCCGTTTCAACCCTACTGTGGATGGTTGCGAAATCCGAGACCGCACCACTTGGAAACCATGGGAAATGATGGCTTGTTGGTATTTACGTTGGGAAGCGAATCATTCCGGGGTTTCTTAGGTGGTGCGAAATGGATTTCGTCCAGCCACAGTATTTCCAAACGGGGACCAGGTTGGGCTCAAAGCAGGGGAACCTACAAAAAGGCTGGTTTGCTTTTGGTTTCCCTTGACACCTCCCAGAATCCGGTACCCTCAACAAGAACATATGTGTTTTTCGAAACCAGCTGCTGAGCACGACATTTTCGCCCAAAGCTGAACGACTTGACCCAGGCACCTCGCCTTCCGCTCGACTCGCCTCAGGTGGCAGGACCTGGGGCGCAGGGCGGGCCGCGTGGCGCCCAACAAGGTGGACGGCATCGAGCTGGAAGCGCCGCTCGGAGTCCTCGTCCAGTCGGCCGAAAAAGGTTCCGGAAAAGGTGGAGACCAGGCGGTTCCGGGTTTTTCCAGAGCCCTGGGTTCCCGGCCCACGTGAAGCCCTGGGTTCCCAGCCCACGTGCGGGGTGGAAGCCGTGAACTTCGGTGTTTGCTACTGGTTGACATCGAAATCCGAGACCACTTGCACCACTTGGAAGCCACAAGAATCAAACCAAAAGGCAGGTTGGTATTCACGAGGAGATCATGGTTCCAGGGTTTCTTAGGTGCGAAATGGTTTGCTCCCATCCACGGTAGGCGTCCTTTTTTCAGTGGGCCTGGTGAAAAAAAAGATCGAGGTGTTCCACAGGTTTAGATGGGGTTTTGTTCCAGAACACCAGAAAAAAACCCATCTATTTTTCTCCAAAAGGCCACTTGTGGTTGAAAACCGTTGGGACGGTATCTAAGAAGAACAGGGCTTCGAGGGGTCGGATGCCAGAACAAAGAGGGGCAACTCAGAACACTGCCCGACGCGGACCCGAGGGGCCGGGATCTTTAAATCCTCAAGCCCCACTTTCGGGAGTTTTGGGACCCAGGAAACCTTTGCTTTGCGAGAGAAGCAGTGGGAACCCCGAGTGGAAACCCGAGTTGGTTCCTGGGTTGAAATGGGGGGTATGGACATCAACCCAGGCGGGACTCGGCTTGTCAAGCATTCAAGTTTCGTTTGTTTCATGCACGACCGGCCAGCGGCCGATTTTTTTTTCCTCGTTTCCGGTCGTGCAACAGCCAAGTACCTGGCCTTTGACCCAAAGAACAGGGGTGGTGGGAAGGAAGCCGGGGATTCCCGAACCATAGGAGATGGTTATGGGAATGATCATTCCATCTCTCATTCCCTGCTGAGCACCAGCAAGCATTCTCTTTTTTTTGTTTTGTGAACAAAGGAGGCCCCATTTCTCAGCTGGAGAGGCCTTTCCTTGGGAGAGCACTTGGGGGAAGGGTGCTTGCTGGCCTTTGCTTCCGAGGATTCTGAACATGCCCAGACACCGGCTCAAGGACCTCTGCGTCTCGGGCGGCACCTTTTGTAGGTTGCAAAAAGGGGCGGACTGAGAGGACCTTACGGCCGAGCTGCGGCTTTGACGCGCCGAGAGGATCCTCTTTTGAAGATACATGCGTTCAATGGTTTTCCCGGGAAAAAGCCCACCAGAAATAAGGAGAACAACAAAAAGGAGAACAAGGGGCGATTTTTTCTCCCGGGGGAAAACGCCGTGGACCAGAGATGAGGAGAACAGGGGCGACTGTTTGGGGTGCTAGTCAGCGGAAGCCGGCTACGGAATGGTGCCGAGGCAAGCTCTTCGACTTCCAAGGCGCGTGTCTGTTTCGCTGGCGCAGGGGGAGGGGGACGGGGGGGGGGGGATCTGACGAAGCGGCGGGGCCAAGTAAAGGCGAGCCATCAAAACCCGGGTGGATGAAGGCTAGTAAGGGATACTCCTACTCAGGTGACCCGATTGCTTTGGCTTTCAGTTTTTGCTCTCCGTTGAAATGGTGCCTGGCTTTGAAAGTGAAGGCGAAACAAGACTTCACGCCAGATTTGGCTGGCGCTTTTCTTTTCCTTGGGCCAGGCTTTGTCTTTGGCCTGGGTGGAAAGGGCGCATCCCCAGCATCACCAGCATCATTTGCACTCAACTGTTGGGTTGGTTTAGGTAGACTCTTGACCATGAACACACCTGGCACGGGGGTAGGGGTGCGTTTTCTGGCTTCCCAGTATATATTTACACAATAGACACACCAAATATATATATATATATATATATATATATATATATATATATATGTGTTCATATATATACATATATAATGACATACACAAGTACGATATAGGTGCGGTATTTTGAGGGTTCCCTTTCAGAGAACCCCCCCAACAAAAAAACCATCTCTCGGTCCAATTCGACAGATTTCAGGCTGGCGGCGCCTGGACAGCGAGGGCCTGTCCCCGGCCTCCTTGTTGCTCGGAGTGAAGAGAGGGCCAGGGTAAGCCTTGGGTCGAAGAGGTAGAAGGACATGGCAGCTATTGGCTTGGTCACCTTTTGGGCTTTTCTTTTTGCCACGTTTGTGTTTGTTCTCAAAAACAATGCCCTGCTTTTTGTCGGTTTTTCTTTTTGCCACCCTGGTGCTTTTGTTTGTCCGTGTTCAGGTAGAACAAGGAACTCACTCACATGTTTAAAGGCACTTTTTTAGCACAATATGACGAAGAGGCTGCCTGGGTTGAATGGGAATCCATAGCACGTATGCAAAGATAGAGCGACTACAGCAATGGGGAACTGTCTTGGCAACTGAGCTGCGGCTGTTGGCCCTTGGCCTCAAGTCTCCGAGGCTCCAATCGAGTTTTCCAAGAGTCTCCAGTCTATTCTGTTCTGCGAGCGCCAGTTCTCCCAGCCCCGTCCATGGCGAGTCAACTCTGCCCTCTCACCCCATTTATTAGGATCGGGCGTGGATGCCTCTCGGGGCAGAAAACCCTGGCCGAGTTTACTTGCTGGTGTTCGACAGCTAGGGAAGGACCGAGTGGTTTTGGGAATGAAACTGGGGATTCCCAACAAAAACAGAAGACCAGAGGGGCTGGTTTTTCTTGGGGTCATTCCAACTCATTCCAACTGCCTGTGGACCCTGCAAGTTTCGGGTCCGAGCTGTGCGGACTTTGCGATGGATTTCGGGGGCTCCTTGTTTTCGAGCTCACCATAGACCCGGAATGGCCGCATGAAGACCGGCGCACAGAAGAGTCGCCATAAGGCGACAGCAGCATGTGAGTCATGTGGATCTGGGGGGTCAAAACCCAAATCGTACCCTCAGTGGACATCCCAATTCCCACTAAAATAGGTTCTAAAATGGGTGGTGCACCTATGGCCATGTGGATCAGGGGGGTCGGGGGCAAAAACCATGTGAATTTCAAGGGATTTTTGCCCCATTCTCTGGCCGGGACTGAGCAGGCAGCTCCTGTTCCCGCTTTTTTGGGAAAACACGAGACCCCGGGGTTAAGACGCTTCCTAGATCCATCGACCATGTACCCTTCCTCCCGCAAACATAGCATCTGTGGGAGGGTACCTGGAAGATCATTTTCCTCTTCAAGGGACCCCCTGTCAGGTGCCATGTTAGTGGGAGTGAGGAGTTTACTCCCATAGTTATGACACAATGAATTTGAACTACCCCCTTGCCCGCTAAAAAATACAACATAACATTCAAGCTGTCTGGCCCCCTACACCCAATTTGCTTTGCGGCTCCATCTCCATCTCCCCTTCAGAGACACACCCATCTCCCCTTCTGAGACGAAGGACGTGGCTCTACCTGGTTTCATGGCACAAATGATTCCCGAATACTGCCGTATCTCAAACTCCAAAATTCATTGCAGCGTTTGTTTGTGGGTGTCACCAACCGGCCCCAAATTGGAAAGCAGTATTCGGTTAGCGTCACATGGCAAGGCTGCCACCACATGAGCCTCTATGCGGCAGGTTTTGAAGGAACAACAAATAAAGGTTGCTATTTGAAATACCTGGCTCATCACGATGGTGATGTCCACGTATTTTCTCCCTAATGTACCCGGTTGGTTCTTTTTGGTTCCCCTGAAAAATAGCCAAAAAGGCGGCACCTTTTAAGATTCACACCTTGTTGCTTTCCTGCAGTCGAGGGTGTCTTTTTTTGAGGGAACCCTTGTTGCGTTTTTTTTTTTTTTTTCTCCCCCTGAACCTAAAAAAGGACGCCTGGGTTTCGACCCCCTCAGGGCCCGGCTGAAAGTTCCGGTGGTGAGCCTCATGACCGCGGGGGTCTTGATCTCCCAGCTGATTGCGCCGGGGCACAAGCTCCGCTTCGTCTTCGGCCTGGCCGACCTGGACGATAGCGGCTCTCCCGAACAGATTTCCGTTTTTTGTTTTGGTCGTTTATTTGGGGGGGGGCTTCGAGGTATTTGTGTTGGGGTAGTTTTTGGGAGTTTGAGGGATTTCGGGTTTGGTCCTGGGCAGATTCGGCACTTTTTTTGGGAGGGCTGGAGGCTTTGAGTTGTCTTTTTTGGGGAGCAATGATTTGGGGGCAAGACGAGCTTGTGCATGAAGGTTCCTTTTCTGGGGATGTCTTAGTTCCGGAGAGGAACTGCGAAATTTGCCCAGATCGGTTCCGTGTCTTTTTGGTCCGTTCAGTTTCTTTTTCCGACCTATGGGCCAGTCCTGGATCTGGGGATTTCTGGGGCGTTCCAAAGGGCGCCCAGGTCCCTCAGCACGCGCCACGGCCGGTTCAACGGATGTGGATCACTCGGAACCCACTTCAGATCCGAAAACGGAAGCTGTGGGAAAACGAGTCGGAGGGTGAAACCAGCCGCCCTTTTGCCCATCGCCCGAAGTGTCCAGGAAGACCTATGGGCTTAGGGCGTTTTCGGGTGCGTGAGCGGCGCTTGGCCTCCTTGGGCCTTGTTGGCCCAAAGCCCTCAGCTGAGAAGGGTGTGTGTGTGTGTATATACACATAATCTCTCTCTCTCTCTCTCTCTCTCTAGATACATAGAAATATGCATATATATACATACATACATACATATACATATATACATTTTTGCATATGTGCATATATGCATATATACATATATGCATATACACATCTATACATATATACATATATATATACATAGACATATATATATATACATACATATATACATATACATGTATACATATATACATATAGACATATATGCATATATACATATATACATATATACATATACATGTATACATATGTATATATATATATACACATGTGTGTGAGTGAGTGTGTCCAATGACTGACACTTCTTCCAGCACCAATCCATGTTCTTTTCAAGCAGGGGACCAGTACCACAAAGGGACGCCGTGATCATGTACCTGCATCTTCCCTTGAAATGTTTGATCCGCAGCCACTGCCAACTGAGAGGCCATACATCGTTTGAGGTGTGATATTTCCTCACACTCCTTCCGTGGCTTCCCATAGAGTGTGTTTGTGCAGGCACCTTTTTCAGATACGTTTCAGAAAGAGCACCATTTGGTGGATGCTCTATTTTGACACATAAGGATCGCCATGTAAAGAGTCTTGGCAACCAGCTAGGTTTTGGTAGTTGTCTTCATTTTCGTCAGGGCCATGCCCGGTTACTTTTCTTGGCCCGTCAGCTCAGGTGGATGTTTTCTGGGGGACCATTGAACAAGGGTTTCTTGCCTCAAAGACGAGCGTTGAAAGATCCCGTAAACTATGGCGTAAAGCCCGAATTTGCTGAAACCACCTGGCTTCCCCTTTAAGAGGGAACCAGGTGCCGGTTGTTGAACAAACAAGGGTTGTGGGGTTGCGGGGTGCTTTCACATCAAACTAAGTCATGATCGCAGGATGTAGCTCAGTCGAGGTCGACCCCCAGCTCAAGCCATGGTTTTAACACCCAGTCCCTGTACTTTTGCCTTTCTTTTTTTTTCACCGCTGCAGCAGTACAGGGGCTTCCGTTCCGAAAAAAGGAACCACATCCCCGCCGGAACCGAACCAACGCGCGCTTGGCGCCAACCGCCGCCTCGCTCGACTCGCTCGACTCGCTCGTGTCGCAGGCGGGTTCCTGGACGAGGGCCAGTTTGTGAATTTGATCGCCGCGCAGATCCGGGGCTTCGGGGCCGCCTTCGGCATCCTCCAAAAGGCATGCGAAATGGGCGCGGGGGGTGGATGGGCCGGGGGGGGGGGGTTTGGGGGTTGGGGGAGTTTGGGGTTGGAGGACGGGGTGTGGGGAGGGGGTGTTCCGAGGCAGTTGAAGTCTGGGGTTGGTGAATTTATCTGGTGGTTCAGTTATCCCGGCTTCCTATCTAGCGAATTAGTTAGCCTTTGCTTAATTAGCTCGGGGGAGCAATCCATTCTTGGACCAACACACACCGGTTGATGTGGCAGGCGGATGAATCCCGGCCAATATGGGTGTGTCTTAAGATAGGAACCCCCCAAATCGGTGGGTGTCCTTTTGGTTTCCCTTTCAAACCACCCCAAAAAAGAGCCAGAAGCGCAAGTTTTCCATGCCCAATAGCCGGGTCAGCTTTGGACTGTTGGGGGTGCCAAAGATTTTTTTCGATGAGGTGGTCTCACATGGAACCTCAAACACCACCTCTTCAAGAGGAAACTCCCAATCGAACCTCTTGTTGTTGGGGGTTCCATGTGAATCTGATGTTGACCCCGGCTTATGAAGCCCATATTTTGGGGTGCGGGGAGAGGATCCATGAAACAAGCAAACATCTTCCAGCCGATTCGCCCGATTTGCTCCGCTGCTTTCCCTTTGGGGCCCTTTTCAGCCTTTTCACCCTCGAATTCACGATGGAACCACCCCCTGCCATGTTCCATGTCAATTGGTGGGAGGGTAAATGAGTTTCTTGGGTGTTGTTCAAGGGCCACAAACCAGCCATGCGCCACGGCAAGTTGCATGGTTTCCCTGTTTGCAACGGGGAACCAACCAGGGCTCCATTTGATTTGCACCATAGACTTCAGCCTAGGGATTGTTCATTTCCCAGACAGGAGAGTCCCTGAATTCGAAGTCGTCAAACAAACGCCCCAAAATTGACCCCTTTTGGTTGTGGGACGCCAAAAAGGAAAGCCAAACGCATGGAGGGCCACTTTAAGAGCCCTTTTTTGGACTTTGGGTTGACCATCCACCTCTGGGTCGCTTGTCTTTTGTTCGGCTCCCCCCCTCTTTTTTTTCAAGGGACGCTTTTGGCCAGGAGAACGCCGTACCTTCCATGGAGGTGATCCGTGGCTTGGCTTCGGAGGTGCACCTCAAAGAAACGCGACACATGTTTGGAAGCCTACAACCCTTTCAGGTTTGAAGAGCTTCACCTTTGAAGACTCACAAATGATTGAATCTCCATCTGATGCTTGAGGAGACTTGACAAAAGCCCGCTGTGTCTTCAGATCCAAAGCCTATCGGGTTCAGTTCGACATCTCTTGTTAGAACTAAAAGCCACTGGGTTGTGAGTGCTTGGCCATTTTACTAGGTGATTCGGTTCTTGCCTGGTTGAATAAGGATGATAGTGCAGCCGACATACATTTTTGCCACCACCTTGGCAGAAACAACAGTTATTGGGTTTTGGGTGCTAGGGTGGGGTTACTCACCAAAATTCTATGTCAGGTTGGGATGCCTGCAATGGTTGATCTTCCTTCCCTTCAAAGACCCCCCCCGGTTCTTGCGCCCTTTGGTTAGCTCCGCCTGGTTTCCTTTGCAGGCTGGTTGAACTCAGAAGGGAAACCGAAGCCATTTTGGGGTCCAGGTCCCGTTTTTTTGACGCCATACCCTCAGCCACAGTCAATATTTGTTGTGTCCTTTGACATGGGATTGTTGATGTTCTTAGAGAGATGCGTCGTAAGCATCTCGAACCATGAGTGTGGACGAGAAAGCCACTTCGACAAGTACGAGACCCTCACTCAGAAGGTGCAAGGCCTCTTTGATCTCAGTGAGGCTAAAGCTCAGCTTCTTTGATGCCGTCCATAGTGGGCTTTGACAAATCCGTGATCTTTCTCAGGGTCCCACGCGGTGAGTGTGCCATGTCCAATCTAAAGGTTCCCCGGCCATACCGGTTAAGTGCCATTTCCCAATGGCACTTTGGATTTGTTTTTTTAAGCCAGTGAATTCTTCTTTGTTCATTTTAAAAGGTACATTTTTGCTGGAAACCCAACCATGGCGTTCCTTTTTCCCCCTTAAAGCTGAGCAATACTTAAAGGGGCGATCGGGCACTTAGCAAGTGGTTAAGCCTGGCTACAACCCGCTGAACAGAGACTTATTTCACCATGGCCTAATAACTTAAGTGGGTCATAGCCATGCTCCATCACTTACCAAAGGCGTACGATGCCCTTTAAGAAGCGAAGGAGATGTGGAGTCTTTGGGTTGGTTTTGGATGTTCGAGTGATGCGTATGGGTGTCCTTTCTGGTTGTTTTGCTAAAAAACATAGGTTTGGCCCTGGTTTACCTGGTGGCTCAATCATCTACCGGGGAAATCCATCTATTGTTCCAAAAGGACACCTATGTTGATGCAGTCTTTGGGTTGGTTTTGGATGTTCGATGGATGCCGCAAAAAAACAAAACAACAAACAACACAAACAAAACACATACCCAACATCTCGATGCCGCAAGGCAAAAAAAAGAAAACGCAAACAAAAACTCCAAGATCCCCCCCCCCCCGCATGAATCGAAGAATCCCGACATCTGGCAAGAAAGCGGCGGAGATCCGAGGCGAGCTGGGCCGGAGGCTCTACGACCGGATCTCAGCCGGGGGTCCCAGCACCGGGGGGGGGGGATGTCGCTTACCCTGCGGGGCGCGGACACCGGAAGAAGAGACGCAAGAAAATACGACACCCCCAGTTTGAGTTTTTCAGTTTGCGGCATCTGCGGTTTTTGGCCACGTGCGACAAGGTGAATCTGGCAAAAAGCCGACTTGTCCAGCCACAAAACCACTGGGATCACTGTTGACATTATTTTGACATTGTGTTGCAGCTTAAGGTTCATCAAACACATGCCCCCCGTTTGGCTTGGCTGAGCCCAAATCTGGAGGTGGACAGAGTTGGGGGAACTGACATCACTTCTGTGGGTGAGCTTGATTTTTTGGTGCTATGTGGCATGTCTTCTTGTCCGAGGCTGGAGGTTGAAGTAAGCCATCGAGGCCTCATGCACCAGTTCTGGCTACTCCCTTCGACCCCAGTTACCCAGTTGCCCCTCAGCTGGTGCAGCCGGAATGGAGAAAAAAAACCCTACTGCTGGTGCAGACATCGCCTTTGGTTTCTGTTTTCAATGCATCCAGGGCCCTTTGGCTCGGTTGCCGTGACGTCGAATGGACGGGGAGCGGAGAAACAGACTGGGTATGAGTCAACAGGTGACCGGTAGCCAATGTTTCCATTTGGCTGTGGGTCGGGTAACCCCAAAATGGGTTGCCCGGGGAAATGGAAAGGACGATTTAACTTGCGGTCCAATTCCTGGTGGTTTCATTTTGACCCATACCCATTTGCCAGGGTTCCATTTTGGGTGCCAATTCTTAACCCACAACACATGTCGATCCATAGAAATGTGGAGCAAAACGGGATCAGTTGTAGGGGTTTCGCCCGATCAACACTTGCCATCCGGACAGTAGCAGTCCAGCTTACTCTTAAACCACGGTCTTTCCATGATCAGTTCATCCTCAGCATGCCACCGTTTCTGTGTCCCCTGAAACTCTCCGCTTCCGGAACTCCCTATATTTCCCTTTCACTGTTTTTGCCAGCAACTGTGACCGCTTTTGGGGCAAAGTGTCTAAAGAGCAACTTGGGCTTTCTAGCCAGTGGAACCATCACTTTTCCAACCGACAAAGTGGTTTGTTTCATCTTGGGGTGTTCTTTTGGGGGGAAAAGGGGAGCCATTTGGGGGCTCTCCGGGAGCCCCAACCGTATGAGTTCAATAGGACCATCTTCATCGAGTCTAAGTTGTTCGATCCTTAGCCTTTCGACGACTTAGACTGGAAAGACCCTGAAGAAACATGTTCTCGCAGGTCCCCAGGTCCCCAAAGGTTCACCTTTCACAGGTCTTTCTGGCAACTGAGATTATCTTCCAGGAGGTCCACTTGGCCATTTTACCGAATTTTACCAATTTTACCATTTTACCGATTTTTGCCATTTTACAGTTCTACGATTTTACTTATTGCCTTCCTTTTGGCTCTCCTGCAAAACCACCAAAATTGGGGGGTATCCACTACTTGACAAACCTGAAGTAAGGTTCCCCCCCCCCCCCCCGCTCTCCCCCCCCCGGAGAAGTTTAACAAAGGGTTTTCATCTTTATGGCTATTTGGTTGGATCTTTGGACTTCAACTTTTAGGTTGACACAGGCCGGATTTTCTGAATTGGGGTGTCTTTTTGTAAGGGACCGCCCCCCCAAAATGGACTTCGATCTTCCTTTTGGTTTCCCTTTAATACGTTGTTTTTTTTGTTCCCCTTTTTTTGTCCTTCTCCTTTTTCAATCAAAAATACGTAAAATGAACATAGTCAATAACAGAACAGAAACATATATATATATATATATATGTATAAATAAACATACATAAAGCATAACAACAAAAAGTATAAAACAACACAACAACACATGCATGCACAGGTGTATGTATATATATATATATATATATGCTCACCCCCCCCCCCCCCCTGCATGACCCACCTTTTTAGCTAAAAAGAAGGATCTCATCTGTCATCTGCCCCTCCCTTCATCGCATCTGCCAGGCATCTGTGCCTGCTTCGCTCTGCACCACACCTGTCGGGCTAATGCGCTCTCCTGCTCCATCCGGCCAAGCTCGTCCTACGCCATGGACTCTGTCCCTTCGAGCACATTATTAGCAGCCTCAACTTGCAAAGCGTCTCCAAGCTCTGGCTCACTTGGCATGCTCTGTTCTGATGGCTTTTTCTCTTCTTCGGAAGTTTCCTCAGGCTTCTCCACGCGGATCTTCTTTGTCATCGATATCGATGCAGATGGGCCTCTTGCCAGCAACAAGCTTTGGCCACGGAATGAGCTCCTTCTTGACCTTGACGGGCATGCTGGACGCAGCTTCTTTTTCAAGACTCTCGGCCGCTGACACCTACCTTGGAGGAAGAATACATGCCATCGACCTTGGGTTCCTCCGCGTCGTCGTTCTCGCGCAGTTCGGGGAACAGACGCGTGTTCTTGGCGAAGGTTCTTGTAAGCGTCGCCGGTCTTCCGGCGCGTGAAATGCTCGTGCTTAAAATCAAGAAGCAATCCATCTGGCATCTGCGTCTTGCGCCGCACCTGTCAGGCATCTCGGGCATCTCCTTTTTTGTGAACGGAAGGATCTGGCAAGCATCGGGCACATCGCTCGACCCTGTGTGAGAAAGCCAAGAAAACCAAGAAAACCTCGCGAAACCAAGAATCCAAGAATGCAAGATTTTCAGGTACACTACAAAATCTTGGGTTCTTGCCTTTCTCGAGGTTTTCTTGGTTTTCTTGGTTTTACTTGGGAATTCTAGGTTTTTTGCTGGGAATCCAAAAAACCCTCCAGTAATTCTTGGTTGTTTGATGGGACTTCAAAAAAACTCTAGTAATTGTTGGTTTTTTGCTGGAAATGCAAAACACCCCAAGAAATTATTGGTGTCTTGCTGGAAAAAAACACCTAGTAATTCGTGTTTTTTTGCTGGAAATCCAAGAATTCCCAAGTAAAACCAAGAAAGCCACGAGAAAGCCAAGAACCCAAGATTTTGTAGTGGACTGGACATCTACCTGACAATCTTGGATTCTTGGTTTTCTCGAGGTTTTCTTGGTTTGCTTGGTTTTACTTGGAAATTCTTGTTTTTTGCTGGAAACCCAAAAAAACCTTAGTATTTCTTGGCTTTTGCTGGACATTCAAGAATTCCCAAGTAAAACCAAGAAAACCTTGAGAAAAAAACAAGAATCGAAGATTTTGTAGTGGACCAGACGGTATTCTCGAGTTTTTTGGTTTTATGTGAAATATGCTAGAAACCAAAGGAATTCTGAAGGTTTTGCTGCAACACCATCAAAACCCCAGAGTTTTTGATTTAGGGATCTATCTGAAAGACATGTAAGTTTTCACGCTTGTTTTTTGAATGCTTTCCTTATTTTCTAGAAAACGCCATAGGTGTTTGCACATCAAACACACGGGTTTTCTTGATTTTTCAATGGTAGGCGTTTTGTTAGCCAGAAAAAACTTTTTTCTTTCTTTCTTGTTTTTCTTCTTTTTTTGCTCTCACTTGTTCATTGTGTGTTAATGGTCCCCAACCACTCTTTGAAAGAAAAAGGTGGTCATGCAGGGGGGTGACCATACACACATATATATATATACACACACATGTATGTTTTCTTTCACGGGTGAAGCTTTTGGTTCGGACGCCGAGGAGCAGGCGGCGGAGAAGCTGATGCAGATGTCCCGAAGCTCAGAGGCCACCAAGCAGATGCTGATCCAGGCGAGACGCGGTGAGAGTGGGGCGACTGGTTGGTTTGCGGGCGACACGGGTTGGTTTGGTTTGAAGGAAAGGCGAGGGGTGTGGGTGGGGTGGAGTGGGGTGGAGTGGGGTGGGGGTGGGGTGGGGGTTTGGTGGGATGGGGGGTTTGGTGGGTGGGGGGGGGAGGGTAAGGAGCAAAGGGGAGGGGACGGAAGGAGGAGGGGAGGGGGGGAAGGAGGGGAAAAGGTTTAAAAAGATGCAAAGGATGGTGCGATGAAGGTATTTGTTTTCTTTGAAGAAAACCTGAATCACCCTTGTAAGACTACTTGGAATGGGGATATACCCTTCCACAGCATCTCCTAATCCTGAAATCCAAAGCTCCTAAACCTGAACTGCCCGACATGATTTGCAGCTTGAAGACCCCAGTCGATCTAGAACAGCCTGGATGGCCAGTTGCGATCGCGTTCTCCCTACACCTGTGACGTTTTATCGGGTGAAGCGTCTGGACAAAAAGCAGCCATCGCAACTTGGAATCGTTCCAGATGTGGCTCCGTCTCTTTGTTGAGGCGAAGGGGCAACCTTTTTTTGGGTTTGGTTCGGGAAACCAAAAAGGACAAGCCACCAGTTTGAGGCTTTGAGATTCCTATGAGAAGCCCATCGGGCACCTGAGCCACTTGCTCAAAACCCGGGTAGATGAAGCTTAGTAAAGGACGATCTCAACCATAAATAGCTGATGTCTGCCTTCTTAGTTCCTGAAGCATGGTGGGGATCAACTATTTTAGTCCCGGGTTTTGATTAATATTGATCCCGTATTAATAAACCCCTGTTTATTAATATGGGGGTGTTCCCCTCCAAAAGTGATAAATCCCGGCTAAATCCAGGGAAAAGCACCCCCCCAAGTGACTCACGTGTCAAAAAAACATCCCAGTTCGGGGCTCCGGAAAAAACCGGCGGCCGCGGAGTTTCGTTCACGAGTTCCATCAGGCGATCCGAGAGCGGCAGGCGGCGGTGCGCCAGGCTCCGCGCGAGATTTTTGTGGGGAGTCTTCGAAATCCGAAGCGCCGAAGCGCCCTGGATCTCCGCTGGTGGGTCAAAACCAATGGGATCCCATTTGGGGTAGCTGAATTCACCACCCATTTTAGAACCTATTTTAGTGGGGATTGGGATGTTCACTGGGGGCACTTGATTTTGACCCATGGCCATTAAATGGCTATGAATTTTACCGGATTCTTTGGACTGCTGATCTCAAGGTTGGTTCGATACCTGGTTTTGCCATTTGGGCAACGTCGAAACGCTTCCGAACATTTCTGAAGCACACACACAACAGAGAAACAAGGATGCAGAAAAAAGCACCGGGCAAAACAAAACCAAACCGAACCAAGCCGTAGCCGTCCAAAGCAAACCAAACACAAAAAACAACTGGGCACAAAACAAGCCGAATCAAACCAAGCCGCACCAGAATAAAAGCGGGACGGGGAAAGACACCACCGCGCAAGTTCACACAAACCAAATCAAGCCATACCCCGTTGAGGGCTCCTCCGCCTCCGTGGGCGAGCGGGCGCGGGGCCCCAGACCTTCCGCAACCGGGTTCTCAACTTGGGTCAGCCCGAGGATTCCCATTTTCAGTTGGCAAAAGGAAAGCCGAAGGGAAAGCCGGAATCCACTTGGGGGTCCCTGAGTTTTTGAGACCATGTGATGCTGGTGGCGAAATCTTTTTTTTTTCCCGCACCACTGCTCAGAAACTCAACTGAGAGATTTTGGATTCTGCAGGGTAAATACCGTTTCAACCATGGTTTCATTTAGTGGTGCGGTCTCGGATTTCACAAGCATGCGCAGGGGTTTTGGTATCAAAGCGCAACGAGGGTGATGTTTTTTTGTTTTTTTTTTTTCAGTCCGGTTGGAGCCGATTTTTTGGTTGCGAGGGGATTTTGTTGCTCGTGACCAAAAAAAGAGACGTGGGAGCTGAAAGCTAAAATGGTGACTCACAGAAAGGGATGCTAAAAGCCATGTCCTGGTGGTCTTGGTGAATGAAGGGTTTTGGGAACGATGCTGTCGATTTTGTTTTCTGTTGGCTAAACATCCAAAGGCCCGCAAATCTAAGGGTTCTGATCGAAGGGTGCAGGTGGGTAGGGCAATGACCCAAGAATCCAAGCTGTTGACCAGGGTCTCCATGATTTGGACTACCCCAAGGTGGACTTAAACCCAGGGGACCCTGCGGTTTACAGCTTGGTTCTCCCCAGCAAGAGCTATGGGGTCGTACCCCAAGCTGCAATCGGGCTTTTGGGTGTTGTCCTTTGCTTTAGATTTAGTCCCCCAACGCAGATTGTTCCGTCTACTTTCACCTGTGCATAACTTGTTCACAGGTGTTTAGAATCATCCATTGTGTTAAGCATTGTTTTCTTGACAGTTGCTTATTCTTTGAACAAGCATTCCTATCGTTAGACGATTTAACACTTTTTTGCTAGGGGTTTATGAACCAGCCTGGATTCCCAATGCTCCATCTTGGACAGGACCTCAAATTCGAAGATCTCACAGTGGAAATCCCTTGCCAAATGAAGTTGATCCCTGCTGAATAGCTTGAAACGGAAACAACAAGGACTCCGCAAGCACCATTCTTGAGGATTCCCGATTTCACTCCAGCCCAAACCCAAGCCGATTCGGGCAAATGAAGGTTAGTTGGGGGATATTCGCAGAGATAGGTGACCCACCCCCAGCTCTCTCTTTTGGTTCTCTTGAAGGTTGGAGGAAGAGGACTCTCCCCCCCCCCAATTTCACCATCTATTTGTACAGGAACACATGCTAACCGGGCCTGCGTGTCTTCCAGCTCGCCGCTCCCGAGGCAAATGTGCCCACGCGGCAGGTGCTGAACTATCAGACAATGGAGGCCCGGAAAGGGTTGGGGATTCGGAAAACGGACGCAATGAGGTTGCCACTTTGCATTGCTTTGCTTGAAGGGTTGGGGATTTGGGGAAAAAAAAGACGGAAAAAAAGACAAAAAAAAGAACATGACGGCAATGAGGTTGCAACTTTGCTTTGCTTGCAACATTTTCTCCAAGCCCCCAAACCCCTTCCCCCCGGAAGCCCCAAGTTCAGCCGGTCCTGGGGTTCCGCTGCACCTTTCGCCAGGCCTGGTGCACCAGGAAGTTCAAGGCCCCTGAGGGCTTTCCGCCGGTGAGTTGAAGCAACGAGAACGAGAACTTCAGGGGCTTCCACAGTGAGACATAGAGCCAACGTAGCCATCTCAAGCATCTCGAAATTCGAAGGCCTCTCTTCCTGTTTTGGTGGGCTGGAGGGGGCTTGCGTCGAACCGCGGGGAGCCAACAACAAGCATGAAGAGCACCTGGGGACAAGCTGGTGGACATCTCTGGGGCAATTGTAGGTACAACACAATTTGTGTCTATCGCATTGGTTTCCCTTGAAGCCAACCTGAAAACGGAGCATCCTCAAGAATGGACACAAATCCCGAGTTCTGATGTCTACTAAAGGGTCAAAGCAATTTCCTTTCATGCCCATAACACAGTCCCGGAGAGTGATTCTCCCTATTATGGTGGTTTCTCACTTCAATCGCTTTGAGGGCGCGCACATCACACCTGGTTATCGTGGTTTTTAAGAGTAGTGGTGTAACATAGTTGGTCTCCAATACCTTCTCAAAATACCAACTTGACGGGCTCGGAATACCAACCTGAAGGGGTCCGAAATCCATGGTTCATTGAGGAGAAGAGTCCTACTGTGGATGGTTGCGAAATCCATTTCGCACCACCAAGAAACCCTGGAATGATTCGATTCCCTTGTAAGTTACCAACAAACCTTATGGTTTCAACCATGGTCTCTAAGTGGTGCGGTCTCGGATTTCGCAACCATCCACCGCAGAACAGCCAGACTTCCTCCTTCGGCGTCTGGCCATGGAAACGCCCAACTTCATATGAGCCACTTGCTCAAAACGCGGGTAGATGAAGGTTAGTAAGGGGCAGTCCCAGCCAGAAATGGTTGCGGAATTCCGCCTTCTTAATTCGTGAAGCATGGTTCTGGGGCTCGACCATTTTACTACCGGGTTTTGATTAATGTTGATCCCGTATTAATAGACCCCTGTTTATTAATATGGGGGTGTTCCCCTCCAAAAGTGATAAATCCCCGCTAAAGCCAGGGAAAAGCACCCCCCCATATGAATAAACAGGTTGGTCTATTACTCCGGGGTCTGGTGAACAAATCACAATAGGTGGTACATGGGTGTTCCGCCCCAAAACGGAGGCATAGAATTATTATAGCCATGGCCATTTCGTTGGTTTCGTTGGTTTTGGTTCGTCCCCCAAACGCAGCTGGGCGATGCAAACGACAGGGCTCCTTAAAAGATACATTTTGCCCGTTTGAAACATGGCTTTTTCCACCAAAATAAAGGGAAAACACCACTTACAAGGTGTATATTGTAAGGATCCCTGAACGAGGACCCGTTGGCCCTGCCCTACGCCCTGGCCATCGAGCGCTTCTGCGCGCGCGCCCCCTCGGAGCTCTACGCCAGCCTGGGGCAGGAGGGCGGCGAGGCGGGCGACCGAAGCCCAAGGAAAGCGCTTGGCTTAAGTGGCTTTAGCTTTTTAGCTGTTTAGCTTTTAGGATTTCAGTGTTTAGAAAGTGGCCTTAGAAAGTGTTTGCTTTTTTGTTTGGATCCAAAGTGGCTCCCAGCCATCCGGTTCAACTTGGGGTTTTGGATCTTTCTAGATGTTTTTAGCTTTTTAGCTTTTTAGCTTTTTAGCTTTTTAGCTTTTTAGCTTTTTAGCTTGATAGGTTTTTAGGTTTTTAGGTCTCTAGGTTTTTAGTGTTTAGTGGGGGTTTCCAGGTTAAACCCACTAGACATGATACGCTTTTCTCGGGGGACAGCAGGAGCCGAGAAACGGAGTCTGGAGTGATCCCGAAAAAAAACCATCCAACTGGTGGTTTCCTTTCGGGAATGTCCCACATTAACCACCAGTTGATGGTTCAAAATGGGTCAATGGGTTTCAAAATGTGGGAATTTCCTTTCTCTCCATAAAGAGAAGACTTGGGAAAAGGGGTCAAAATCACCACGGTTCCCAAAGCCCAAAGCCTTTGAGTTCCTAGGGAGAACCAGAAGCTAGCCAGCCAGAAGTCGGAAGGGGAGTTTAGCCACCAGTGGAGACCGGGGAAAGCCAGGGGAGCGACTCACCCGCTGTCTTTTTTTCTTTCCTCCGCGCATATTTTTTCTAGTCACAAAGGGGCCGGCCCAACTTTTTGCTGGAGGTAGGCGGTTGAGGTTCCCAGAGAGCCCATATGCCGGTAGGTCTTGGGTTCTTTGCAGCTGGGGACTTAAGCACCTGCCTTCAGCAAGCTGAGCGCCAGAGCTGAGTTCGTCTAAGGCAGGAAGCTATGAAACGGTGCTTTCCCTACTGTGGATGGTTGCGAAATCCATTTCGCACCACCCAAGAAGCTCTAGAATGATTCGATTCCCCAACGAAAATACCAACAAACAATGGTTTCAACCATGGTTTCCAAGTGGTGCGAACGGATTTCGTCCATCCACAGTAGGTTGGCTTTGTACATGAAGTGTTTGAAGTCTTCTCCTCTGGCAGGGTGCTATTTGGTCGGTTTTTAAGGGATGGAGTCCAGTGCAGCCAACCTTCAAGGGAGTTCTTTGGTTGAGTTCTATCTGGGGCATGCCATGGTTGCTTCGGCCCGTAGCTCCTTTCATAAGCTTCCGGAGTCTTGTATCTGGAAGGGCCAGTTGTATCTGGTTCTACCTGGCGTGACAAGGGGGATATGGATCCCTGAATTGGAAGCTCAGAAAAGGGCCCCCAAGAATTGTTGGTTTCCTTGGATTTCGCTGCAATGCCAACCAAAAGGGGGTCCCAAATCCATTTTGAGAATCTCCCCACGTGAATCTTTCTACTAGTCACGTTGGTAGAACCAACAGTTTGATGTTTGTTGTTTCTTCGGTTCTTGCCGCTCACAGAGGCCTATAAGTGGGGTCCGGTGACTGTCCCTTTTTTCACGGGCAGAGACTCCCTGCCGACAGGAATGGCACCTCTCCCACAGCAAGCCGGTGGAAATTCCGGCGGACCGCGCTTTTCAGCGGGGGAACTGGGGGCTATTTCAGGGGTCCCTCACTTCCCCCCAAACCCCCCCAGTTTGGGCCCTCCAAAAGTGGCGTACGGAAGATGCCAGCTTGCAACTTTTGAAGCTTTTGAAGAAGGGAAGCCCAGAGACCCGGTACTTTTGTTGGCGAACAAGTTCCCCATAGAACCTCCGGCAGCCGGAGGGCCAGGTGATTTGAGCGGAGAGGCAATTGCTTTCCCTATCTGTATGGTTGGTTCCCAAATCTTGCAAGAAGGCAGCCAGGAAAACTCGCCTTGTGGTTGGTGCACTTGCGATGTTTTAGGGAAGTCCACGGCATGTCTCAAAAATCGGTTCCTCTCCAAGGCGTAGCACATCCTTGTGGTTCTCTTGAAACGCATCCAGAAGCAGGGGCTTTGAAGATAAACAAAGCCAAGCTGAACTCAATGCCTGCAGTAGGCCACTTTAGGGTGGTTCCACTACCTGGTCCCATATGGGTGATAGGAATGGCTATATGTCACAGATATGCACACATATATATATATATATATTTACATTTGTTGGTTGAGCTGAAAGTTTGTGAGTAGCAAGGGCATACGAGCGGCCCACGCAGGCTGACTTGATACTTCTTGGGCAAAGGCACTTTGGTATAGACACGGCCTGGATGGAGCAATGCGTGGAAGTGAAAGCCCCAAGTCAAAGTTGGCCCTGACTTTTCTATGGCCACTGGGGGTTTGTTTGGGTAAAGGAGCCATGGCGAATGCCGACTCACATTTCAATTTGAGATTCTCTGGTGGGTTCCGACCCCTCATATGCCTCTAGGTCTTCAGTGGCTCCCGAATCTCGTCAGTCCTGAAAAGGGCTACTGGAAAATGCAGCCGGCCTTCCAGTCCTTTAGCAGTCAAGACACACCTGAAGTTCCCCAAGCACAAAATGCTGGACCTTTCGTGTATACTTTGTTGCATTTTGCTTGGATGTTAGGACTTTAACTTTTTGCCAACTCACGGGTTTTCCATTAAGCCACTAAAAGTTAAACTTTTAGCAGGGGAGCAGAAAGCAACCGCAAATTATACAGACCGCCAACCTTCGGATGATTTTCTTCGCAGTGAGCTCTTTGGGCGAGCAGCCCTGACTCACACCTTGCGTTGCCTCGTTTTATTGACGGTGAGCCTTGCCACGAATTGGGTGGCTGGCTCGAGCCATTTGCGCGCTCAAAATGAAGGACCAAGGGAACCACTTGTTTTTTCTTGGTGCCCCGTTTTGGTGATTTCATCCCTTTTCACGGGAGGGCTGCCTAAGGGGCGTAACAATGAATGTAAGGGCCTCATTAGTCAGGACGCGCATGAACTATTCGCCATTCTTAAGCCCCTTGTATTACACACTGCGGAAGCAACCCCATCCTTGTACATCTCGGGTTCTCTTATTCTCCTTGCAATATGGCAGGGCATCCGTTGTATAGATCCCATACCGCCCAAATCGCTTGAGTGTGAACACACACCAAACACATCCAAAGGGCGGCGTTTTGGCGCCGAGAAGGCGAGAATCCGCTTGGGGTCCCCCCGAACATCCGGAAGGACACAACTTCGGGAGACATCCCGGAAACAACCAGAAGCTTGGGTGGATATCTGATGGGGTGAAACCAGCCCGGGCCGCATGCAGAAGAGTATGTTTTTGTTTGTTATATATATATATATATATCTATGTATACACATACACCAAAACAAGCAGCTTTTTGAGGGGTACACCAACCAACACCGTTTTTTTGTCTCTTTTTTTTCAGGGGATATATATATATATATATGTATGTATACATACACACCAAACAAGCAGCGTTTTGAGGGATTCCCTTACCTTCGCTTTTGTGACGAGCCATTTTTCCACCAGATCTTTCTTCACAGCAAGCCGTGAGGCAGCTTCCGAGTTCGCCCCCTTGCCATGTGGTTTCGCAGGAGCTGGACCTGGGAGCGGACCTGAAGTTGCCAGAGCGCTGGCAGGTGGAACATCGATGGATCTTCGTGGGATCGGTGCGAGAGATGCAGGGAATGAGAAATGAACTGCTCACCCCCGAGAAAAACCATCCAACGGGTGGTTTCCTTTAAGGGGACCCATGGGAATGAGAAATGGCTCATGACCCCGAGAATTCATCATCCAACTGCTGGTGGTTTTCCTGTATTCGGGGACCTGGACCCCTGGGTTCATTCCATTTCTCATTCCCGACTTGTCGCGCCAACAAGTTTTTCTTCAAGCTCACTCTGCTGGATTGCACGTGGATTCGATTTGCGGGGGTTTGGGTCGAGACCTCGGAATAGGCATAAAGATGCGCATGGAATTTGGGTTCAAAGGAGTAAGAAGAAATGCCCGCGGCATGGATTTTTGTTTGTGCTGAGATTTGCTGGTTGTTTGGCTCCTACCTTTGAAAGTGCCTGTTTCATGCCCACTGCTTCCGGCTATCACTGGAGGCTATGGTAGTCATCCAGGCCTCGTTGCCTCTAGGTTTTACATCATGGCATCAACGCTTGGGACCATAGGAGACATCTTAGCTCTTGGGCCGAAAAGATATATGGGGTTGATCAAAAGGTCGTTTAGGTGGAATCACAATGAGAGAAACCAACATAAAAGATGGTGGGGAATAGTTACTCATAGTCATTTGAAAGCCAAACAAATAAACAAACAATCAACAAGCATAACACGCTGAAGCTGTGAGCTAGGTCACGGGAATCACTGGGGTCTCGCCAGGTTCTGTTCCTGCGGGATGTCTATGAGTTCTGCGGCTTGGGCTCGAGTCCTCGTGCTTCTGGTGGGGAATTTTAAAGGGTGTGATCTGGGGAAATAGAGCTAGAGCTCAGACTCCAAGACTTTCTTTTGAGACTGCAAAGACTTTTCGACTTTTAGCTGTTCGCCATACCCCTAGACGTTTAGGCTGTTGGGCTGTTGGAGCCGTGGAGGGTGGCACTGGTTTTATCCAACACGCCTCATGGGACTACAACCTGCACTTGAGCAGCACCCAAGACCAACTCTCCCATGGGCCATTTCAGGCGAGTCACAGTCAAAACCCGGGTAAGTGAAGGTTAGCAAGGGACAATCCCAGCCATAAATAGCTGCGGCCGCCTTCTTTATTCTTTACATGGTTCTGGGTCGACCATTCTAATTGTGACTCAGGTGGTGCGCCTTTATCACCATATCGGTAGAACCCAATCTGAGGCTCTGCCTTCATTCGTCAAAGGATCGGGGCACAATGCACCGAGCTCGCCCAATGGGGGTAAATCGAGCTTCTTGAGGTGGCATTTTTTTCTCATGAACTCAAGCTCAGGAAGTTTTTTTAAGTGCAGGATCTTTTTGGGTTTGTTTTTAACCCCCCGAAGCGATCTGCGAGCTGAAGTGAAAGAAAGCACGAGCCCTCCAGGCCTCTGTTTTTGTTTGTTTGTTGTTCGCTTTCTCGGAATCCAAATCATATTTGGGGTTCGGAACACCTGAACAATCAACCATGATCAGCTGCCGTGGTCGACAGTACTTGGTGCTACTTTAGGGCCTTTAGTGCGTCCCTTGAGGAGGTCGTTTAAGAGGACCTGAGCAGAACTCCCTTTTCTTGGTGGTTTAACAAGCACGTGAGGTGAGGTGCTTGGTTGTTCGACCAGGGCTTGGCATTACTTGATGGTTCTCAGAAGGAATGATGGAAGACTCGTATGACTCATCCCTTTGGGTTGCCTTATATATACGGGATCCTTTTGTATGCGTACTATACGCCTTAATGTGAAACCCAGGATTAAACTGGGAAGTTTGGGGATCTGCGAAGATGCGGACACCGCCTCGATCGAAATTTCCCCCGTCACCCGCACCAGCAGCATTGGGTCAAGGGGCAAAGCACCCAATCAGAGACTAGGCAACCCCAGGTCCAAGTGATGCTGGAGATGCTGGGGATGTTGCCAGCCCTGCGCTGGGAAAAAAACCAGCCCTCAGAAAGAAAAAACACATTACCGTGGGGTTGCGTCAAACCACTCGATAAAGAGGCCGACCACAGATGTGGGAGGTCTCAAGACGGAGTTGGACCTCCCTTGTTGGCTCCCAGCCATCCCCTTTAGCTTTTTAGCCTTTAGTGTTTAGTGGTAGTTTCTATGTAACCCACTAGAAGTTCGTCACTTTTAGCGGGGGATCCGAAAACGGGCAGCCCGGTTTTGGTTGGTATTTCGAGCGGAGCCTCCCGGAAGCCGTTGCCACGGAATCGGATCGATCCCTATGTTGAAAGGCGGTAACCAAAAAACGGGTTACCGTCAAGCAGCACATATACATACAAACACATACACACACACACATATATACACATGTGTATATATATATATATATGTATACATATATATATATATATATATTTACATATCTGTGTATATATATTTGTCTAATTGAACCCTTCGGCTACTCGCTCGGAGACTCGGAGCTTTCGTACAAGGCACGGAGGAGGGCACCTTCTCGCTGTCCTTTTCGGAGCTGGAGCTCCTCGGGAGATTCGAAAGGGGGGGTCCGTCGATGGGGGGTGCCAGTGGTGGGTTGGGTGGGGTGGGTTGGGGTGGGTTGGGGTGGGTTGGGGTGGGTTGGGGTGGGTTGGGGTGGGTTGGGGTGGGTTGGGGTGGGTTGGGGTGGGTTGGGGTGGGTTGGGGTGGGGAGGATGGGGGTTGGTTGGGAGATTCTTGGATGGGCGGTTCCAGCGGAGTTTTTTTTAATCTGAGGGGTGAGGAAAGGAAAAATCTGAGCTGCAAAGGTCGACTCTGACGTTTTCTTGGGGATCGGCATGGGAAACCAGGGGCTGCGTAGCCACACCCATCGGTCAAGCAAGCGGGCATCTTTAGCTTGTCGGCTGCTGACAGGCTTTCAATGTGTATACATATATATATATATATATTATATATATATATATATATTTATTTATACAGAATACAGTTACACTCAATGTGCTTTTTCTGGCTTGTTCAGCCCAAACAAACAATTGAGTTGTAATACGAGCATTGTTGTCGTCGCTGGCTTTATCCTTCTTCTCCTGACACAAGCAGCCAATGCAGTTTTTGCACAAGCAAAAACAGCTGACATGGGCGTTTCCACTTTTGGCTTACTTTCAAGCGTTCTCGAAAAGGGTTTCCTCAAAAGGTCAAAAGAACAATTTAGGCACTTAGACCCGTCATCCCTGGACAAAGCACAGGGCAGGGGCTTTCTTTTTTCGGGCCCCGTTATTTGCAGGTGATGCTAGGGGAACACGTGTCCCAGCATGGGAATCGGTTTCAATCACAGCTCGTGCAACGATCGGCGTGGATGTTGCCGCATCAGGATCCCAACCTCCTTCTTTCTGGTTTCCTCCAAATGAGGCCTTGAGGTTCGCCGTCCATGTTTTCTTTAAGTTTCTAAGAACCAGAAAGAAAGGGCGGTCAAAATTATCGCGCGAGATTGAAGAGTCGAAGGAATCTGCTCATCTCCCCTCCAGTTTCTGGTTTTTCAGACTGTAGATGGACAAAATCCATTCCTTGCAGCATTTTGGCTGCATGAAACCACATGAATGCTGGAATAAAACAAATCTGCCTGGTGGATGTTGTAAGCATCCCGAAAAAAAAAAAGGAAAAGGAAGGACGGCTGAGGGAGAGAAAGGTGCCCGTTCCTTTCGGGCTTTTCGACGTTCCGAGCTTTGGGCTCAGGACTTGCGTAGACTTTTCGGGGCGTCGGGGCGTCGGGGCGTCGGAGTTTTTTGTGGATGGTGACGCGAAATCCGATTCGCAAGGCACCACCCAAGAAACCCTATGATTCGATTCTCCTGTAAATGCCAACAACACAATGGTTTCAACCATGGTTTCCACGTGGTGCGAACGGATTTCGCAACCATCCACAGTATGGTGAAGCCCTCTATGGTAGGCTGAAGCGCTGAGCCCAGATGAAGAGTTCCTCCTTTCCGAAGTGGCACTGGTGTGCAACAGTCCTTGCCCATCGCTGGGAGATCCGGCTCCCACACGACATGTTGCATAAACTATGTAGTAGTTTTTACTTTTAATGGTGGAACTCTTCTTCTGGGGTATGCCCCAGAAAAAAAGGGAAAAACAAAACAGGATACCTGCGTTCCGGTGGAGCGGTTGGGGGATATGTACCAGAAAGTCAGCATCAGTCCAACTGAACTCGCCAATGAAGCGGCTTGGACGGTTCTTCGGCTTCATGTTGAACCTGAGTTTGCACTGAACAATTGTAAACCTTGCGAGATTTTGCGAGGGCATATCCACCCGCAACAAAGATAATCGCTGGGGGGGGGGAAGAACAAGGTGCTTTGCTCACCTGCCAAGACTTGAGAAGCTACCCACCAAAGGGCGAGTTCCCTGACCAAAGTGTGTGCACTGGGACGCATGAGCGGCACATAGTTCTTCTGAACCACTCCAAGAAGGGATCCTCAAGAATCAGAGACCCAAGTCAAGACGTGATTCGAGTGGTCGTGAAGCTTTGGAACGTCATGTAACCTGAACCGGAGGGCTGTTGTTGCGACCAATGAAAGCTTGCAAGGCAGTATGTAGCCCTTATATAGTGGTAACCTCTGTACCTCCAAAGCTACCCAAAACACTGACATGTTTTAGTTTCTTGGCCCATGCTGTTTGTTTGGTCAAAGCGTTGGCCTTGTTGTTTTCGAGGGGAAAATTAAATCCTTCAACAACAACTTGTTTTGCTCAATCCATTCTAATTGGGGGGGCAGTTCCACCCCAACTCGAGCCTCGAGCTTCAGGCTGTTTCCCTTCGGTCGCCTGACCGATCGAAGTGAGGTACGGCCTGCGGAGGAGCCTGAGCCCGGACTTGTGGGACTTGGGCCACGAGGCCATGCGCAAGGCGGAGACCTACGGAGGACCGCGGGCTGTGAGTGCTGAGCGCGCTGAGGGAGGGGTGGGGGGGGTGGGGAGGGTGGGGGGGTTTTATCGTTTGGTTTGCGGTGTTTCTTTTCTTCTTCTTCTTTTTTTCTCCCTTTTTGCTTTCTGGGGAAAAGGAAAAGCATGAGGTTGTTGGGGCAACAAATTGGAACCGAAGGGAAACCACCGCGAAATGGAATCCTGCCATTTGGGTGTTGCCTTTGGGTGAAACCAAAGGGAAGCCACCGCACTGCGGTAGTCCTGGACATGGTCGTGGAAAATCACTAGGCTTCAGGTTGCTACTTTTCGGATGGGACGACAAGTAAAGGCATAAAGCATGCAAGTCCATTTGGGAATCACCAAATGCTTGCAGAGCTGTTTTGGGGGCCGTTTACTGCCGAAACTGGGAACGGCCAAACCTGAGCACGGGTCCTCACTGCGAGCGCAACATCCTGCTTTATCGATTTGGCAGGGGCGCAGGGCAGTCGCTAATTGCAGGGGAGTCACACGCTTTGTGCCCATGGCAATGTTCCCTGTCTCACCACCAAAGAGAAGGTGATCCAAAAAGGAAGAGAAGGAGCCCAACTCCGCAAGCAAAACCCGAGCGAAAGGGAATCAAAATTGAACACCCAAAAATGCAGCTGACAAATTGACCAACCACGACCAAAGCAAGTGTTTCCTGAAACGAGGCACAATTAAGTGCCGGCTAAGACAAGTTCATTTCATGGTGTTGTGTTTTAGTTTTCCTTGCTAAGCTGCCGAAGTTTAGACCAAACTGGCCATGATTGGTAACTTTTCTCCGAACACCGCAAGTCAAGCTGGCTGGTTGAAGGTTTTTGTTAGCCTATCTAAGCATCAGATTGCCGCCTCCCTTTCAAAACAAGCCACCAAGGAGACCCTCAAAAGACCAACGCCTTTTGACGTCTCTGGGCCCTTTTCGGAGGCCTTCCAGCTGACCCGAAGGGACCCGAAGGCCCGGCTTTCGGCTTTCGGCTTTTCTCCGGTTGGAGATGTGGCCGAGGACCGCTCAGCTTCCTTCAGTTCCTGAAGAAGGCGCGTCTTTTCGTCTTTTCGTTACCGCTTACGGGTTGGGCGGCTTGGCGCCCAGGGTGAAACCGGCAATGAATGGGGGGCGCCTGTTTCACAACACGTGAAACCCGTTCTTTGTTTCTTTTTTGGACATAGGCATTTCCCGAACTAGGGGCGGCAAACACTGTGCTTTGCTGGTTTCCTTTGCATGCGAGAGGGCGAAAATTGGTTCAAGCCCCCCTTTGTTGGTTGGCGCTCATGATAGCTGCCTGTGGTGCTCAATATACCTGAGAGTTCCTGCATTGCCGAAATTTTGTTCTCGGGTTCGAGCTCTTTTGCCTTTTCCTACGACAGAATGGGACTTTCCTTCGGCGGATGGGCAGGTTTTCACTTTGCGCTGGCACTGATTTCGAGGCCTCGAGGCTGTTGAGGAAGGTCTGCGTTGGGAAAAAACGGGTCTCCTTCAAAAGGAGCTCGTTACGGCAGACTTTGGTCCAAAAAGGCCAGAGTTGTTAGACTGTAAGGGGCAAGCATGATGCATGGTTGGGCACACGTCTGGCGCTGATGCATCCAGCACCTTTGAGGTTTCCAGCGTTGCATTTTTTTTTTGGGGGGGTAGGGATGTTGGTGATGCTGGGGATGCTGGGGATGCTGGGGATGCTAGTGATGATGGAGTTGCTGAAAAGGTTGGGTGCTGGGAATGCTGAAGTTGCTGAGGATGCTGAGATTGAAGGTGCTGGGGCTGCTGAGTTTGATGCTTGTGATGCTGGGTATTTTCGGCTTGCTGCTCTGGTCAATCTCTCTGTTTGGGATGTTGCAAAGAGCAACTCATCGAGTCAAGCAGACAGAAAATTGCACTTTGGTTTCCTTTGAAAATTCGACAGGTGCCTTGTAGACGAAACATCCGATATTTCCAACGTGTTCGACAAAATTACTCTGGTCAAATGGCAAACAGAGTCTGCGGGTCACTCCAGGCTCGGATTCTCTTTGCAAGGGGGTTGCAACTCCATGAATCCAAGACTTACCGCCCTTTCTCACTTGCCGGTGCTCAGTAGGGAATGAGGGAACGTGCAAATCGCCCTTTGGAATCGTCCAAACCGGACACAGAGTGACAAGGCATGGTTGTTGTTGGGAAACATTTTACATTTTTTGCTTGTGGTTTAGTGGGGAATCCCCACTTAACTGCTAAAATTGAACGTCAACCAAGAAGGACCGAAGCACGGGGAACACCCCTCGTGGTTTCCGGGTTTCGAATGGTAGGCGTTTCCCATGGCGAAGCCAAAGCACCTCAGCGCCTTTGAGCATTGGCGCCCCGGCACGGAGAAGGGTTGCCTGGTCCTGGGAAGCCGTTTCTTGGTGGCTCCCAGCCATCCCCGTAGCTTTTAGCCTTTTAGTGTTTTCAGCCCACCAAAAGTTAAACTTTTAGCGGGGGATCTGAGGACAGCTCAGTTTTGGGGGTAAAGGGAAACCGAAAGGAAAACTGGAGCCATTTTGCGGGGGCTGCTAAAAGAAGGACAGACCCATACTGTAGTCCTTCTTTTTTTTTGGGGGGGAAGCCGTGCATTGTTTTTGGGGGTAAAGGAGAACCAAGAAAAAAGGGGGGGGGGGTCTGCTAAAAGAAGGACAGAGCCATAGTTCCCCTCATGTGGTTTCACGGGTATATGTGTCAACAAAGGCGACATGTTGTTTTGGTTATCCCAGATCCCAAAGAAGACTTCAACCAAAGGGCTCCCGATACTTCGGGTGTACCTTGTTTTGGGGAACCCCCAAAAAGAGGTTGTTTTTCACGGGGACCATTTTGGGATTGCCCGGCATTTTGCGACGCACCCATACTGTGGACGAAATCCGTTTCGCGCCACCTAAGAAACCCTGGAAGGGTGATTCCCCTGCAAATACCAACGAACGTTATGGTTTCAACCAGGGTTTCATTTCGTGGTGCGAAATGGATTTCGATTTCAACCGTCCACAGTATGTCTTTATCAAAGCGATTTCTTTGGTTTTCGCACAGACTTGGACGCCCCTGGGTTTGAGCCGAGCTCCAGTTCGGCGAGCTGTTTTTTTTGGGGTGAGTTTAAGCATCTGGGTATGTGTCAAGACCCCCAACACGGCGGTTTCCTGTGGTTTCCCCTTTAAAAAAAAAAAAAAAAAAAAAAAAAAAGAAGGGCCGAAAAGGTTTCCCTCGCCCCATTCGTGTTGTTTCTGCTCCTCTCGAGCGAGAATTCGGAGATACGTGTGGAAAGGATTCCCATGTCCATTGAAGATACCTGGGTCCACTCACTCGACCCTTGATGAAATGGTGGGGCAAATTTCTGAGGGCGTTTGAAGTTCTCGGATGCCTTTGACATTTCTGATCAGGACACCAAGAAGGTCCAGACTCACAGCTCTTTTTCTGCGGCCTTGCAAAGCACGTGTGCAAAAGCGCATGAAACGAGCTTGGGGGGGGGGAATTTCATGTGACTGACGCAAAAAAGGCGAGGGTCAAGAATGGAGCGCTGGTTTGTTCTTCTTTTGGAAGTGGCTATGTGTGAGACATATAAAGAGCAGGGGGGGTCTCTTTTCCCGTTTGCTGCGATGTTCAAAGGTATCCTTAGCCTTCACCTTGGGTTGCGCAAGGATTCTGTTTTTGTAGTGGCTTCCCAACAGGGATTATGGAGAATCGGGTTGGCCAACTCTCCATTTTGAACAGCCCAGATTTGTTCCCTAGTTAAGAGGGACCTCCCTTTGAAATCAGGTAACCCTTTGGTGGGGGTTTGTTGGCGGTTTGGGGATTTGAACCCCTGGTTCCTGCAGAGAAACCACCCATACAAACCGCCACTTCGGGGATCTGGTAACATCCGCCCGAGAGGTGCCTTTTGCCCCCCGAGAACGCATGCTCCGGAGCGATGCCGGGGGGGTGCCGACGCGAGGTGTGAGCAGTACGACGAGCTGCAGCAGCGAAGCGCAGAGGCGGGGGTGCGGGTTGCGACCATTCCCACTATGAGATGTGTTTGTCTCTGTGTGCGTGCGTGCCCTTTTTTCAGGTTGGCTGAAAGGGAAAACCACCACTTTTTGGGATGCCCTACTTTGATGCATGCCCAAATAAATTCTTACAATCGAGTGGGTGGGTGGGCGGGCGGGCGGGTGGGCCGGGAGGGGGGGGGGGTTGAATAGATATGAGCACAACTGGTTTTCATTCACTGAGTCGGGAAGCCAACGTGGGTTGATCCCACCACAAATCCAAGATCCCAAAAGGCTTCTTCAAAACAGAAGAGTGCATAATTGGACATCCCTCGTGTTCCGGCTGGTTTTCGCCGGAAATCAAGGTACATCCAACGTATAAAAGGGGGCTCCCCTCTTTGGACTCCATGATGAGTGTATGCTTTTTGTTGCGGATACCCTTTTTGGCTTGGTTTGAAGGGACACCAAAAGGAAAGCCACACATCTTTTTGGGTTTTCTGCTTTCTCTTTCTACACGGCCTTAGAGTTGGGACTTTGGGGCGAGATGGGAGAGCATGTCCCTCAAAGTCCCACCGCGACCAGCTTTGACCGCCTGCAGCGTTTAGTCTTTGAGCTTGTTCCGGAAAGTGGCTACCGCTCCTTTCAAGGGACATGGGTCCGTGTTGACCCAATCCAATGCAGGGTGTGTTCATTGAGTCCAAGACCCCTGTGAACTGCGAATTCACTCCGTCGAGAGTTGAGGGGCGTTCTTGCTACAGATCTCGCCACACCCTAGGCGCACCCAGGGTCCAGTTGCCCGTACAAAGGGGTTGAAGACGGGCATCCATGCCATGTGGCGCAGGGAACTGACGCTGCTGGAAACCGTGTGTATGCACACACATACACACACGCTCCGACGAGCATCGGGGCTGTTTGGTGTGGGTCTCGGGCACGGAGTGACTAGGCTGCCCTGGCTGGCAGGCGCCTTGTTTTTTTTTTCTTCAGGACCCTGGCTTGGTGGGTCTGTCTCAAATTGTGCAAAGAATCCTTCCCCCCCCGTTTTTGGCAGGGTGCTCGTTGGCCTCTAAAGGATGACCTCCGCGAGATTCTTTCCTTTTCTCTGGCTTCCTTTCAACCAAGTTTCCACCCTTTGTCTCCCTTTTTTTGCAATGCCCCGGAGCTTTTGGTATGAAAGAAGCGCGCAAGAAATGGCTGTGGGGGTGCCCAAAATGGCTTGCCCTGGTAAAAGGAAGCATGGATGATTTAACCTGCGGTCCAATTCCTTGTGGTTTGATTTTGATCCATACCCATATGTATTGTATTCTCTCTTGTTGGTTAAAAAGGGGGTTTCACTACTGGACATGTTTTAAGATATTTTTCCCTGGGGGCGAGAAATGCCAAATCCAAACGCGCGTCGCTTCATTCGCAGATGGACCTCCTCACGGAGGCCATGCTGTTGTTCGAGAAGAAGAGCTCCATGCCGGTGCTGCCCTGCGACGACCAGGCGGGCGCTTGGAGCGGAGGGATTGGTTGCGACTAAGAGGCCGTGGCTCAAAAGTGGAATTCCCAAAATGGCGCCTTGGCAAAAGGAACCAACGACTAAGACCCGCGGTTTGCCCCAGCTCTTTTAATTTTGAGCCATACCCAAGAAACGCCGTGGAAGGATTTCTCCTCTGAAGGAAAGTGAAGGTTGATCAAGACCCAGTTGATTTGTAGGGGGTGTGCCATAGAAAGAATCCTTCCCTGGGGCCCTAAGGGTGTCTGTGCCCCAAACCATGTTAGTGGAGGTTCCCACAAAAAGGCCGAAGAAGATGAATGTTGCTGTGATTTCACGGATTGCTTGGGGGTACCCAGCAGTCTGCTTTCAAACATGCTTTCTTGGCAACGATGCAGGTAAATGGCCAAATGTCAACCGAAGTGAACTTGTTCATTCATCTTCTTTCCTTTCTGGGTTTTTTCCTCTACTTCTTCCCCTCCTCCTTTGGCACAGGCCAGTCTGGAGCGAGAGTTCGAGGAGATGGCCTCTCCGCGGCAATTCAGGTCCCTCCCTGGTTGGGATTCATCCCATTTCCCATGAATTATAGGTCTCGCATTGACCGGAATTTCAGGCTCAGATCAGTAGGGTTTGGATCAGGAGGGTTTCCAAACACGAGTTTGCTCATTGACAACATATATATGCAAATAATTTTAAGGGAACCACTCTCCGGGTGGGGGATTGGGCATCTGCTTCTGATGTTGCCCCTGCCCCCCCACACCCTCCCCCCCCCCCCGCTACTGGGCCAGGCCAGTCGATGGATTTCCCCTCCGGGTTTTCTCTGCGTTGTTTTGGGCGGTCCGCAGGTCGACGTTTTTGCCGGTTCTTTGTTGTGGCGTATGTGTTTGGGTTTGTTTTTCGGGGTTTGTTGCCTGGTGTCGCTTTCTGGTTAACAGCTTCGAGGTAAGTCAGCTCCGAAGGACCTTCCAATCCAAACTCCGCCTCAGGATTGAGGACCAACATAGCGGTTGGTTTCCTGCATCCTCTCAGCAACATGGTTTGATGGTTTCACCACCTTTCAGGGCGCAGTTGAGGTTTTTGTTTGTTTTTGGTATAGCTCAAGTCCATGCCAGCTACGGATCAGACGGTGGACCCATGGGATGCCCTGCTCCGTGCGACTCAGAATCTCAATATCATTGCCAAACTGAGCTTGCCCTTGTAACTTGTTTCTCCTTGATTTCTGCTTACCAGTACCAGGTTCACTTTTTGCAGGGGTCTAAGTCTGGTCTGCTGATGGCACAGCAGCTATGCCCATCCTGGGTTTGGGCTGGCAGGGCAGCTAGGGTTTAAGGTAGGAACACGCCTGAAACTTGATTGGCTTTAACAAAAAACGGAACCTGAAGGGTCCGTGTAGGAAAACGGCCTTCCAGACTTGTTTCTCGGACCTGGGACATTTGGGGACAGTTCTACCCAAACCTGCCAGAGATTCGATAAAACTCGGTTATTGGTGGAATAGACCCTGGCTTGCCCTCGCTTTGCGGGTGGGTGACATTGGATTTTTGACCCACTCCCATGTCCTTTTTGGGAATCCCCCGGAACATGGGTGTTGACTTTGCTTCCATTTTCCGAATTGAAGATGCTCCGAGTATTTTTGGGCATCTTCCAGAACCTGGGCGGCGTTAACTTTACTTCCATTTGCCGACACGAAGATGTTTCGTCTATTTTCCCCCTGGGTGAAAAAAGGGGGCCCCCGATTCCGCCGGACAAATCATCGCGGCTCTGCGGGGCGCCCGAGTGGCCGTAGGTGTCCTTTTTTAGTAGTTTTGGCAGAAAAAGAGAGGTTTACCTGGTGGTTTCATCATCCTCCAGGGAAATCCATCTCTTTCCAACCTAAAAGGACACCTATGTGGGTGTGGCTGAAAAATGGGGCTCCAAAATGGCTTGCCCTGGTTTTCTGGACAGGTAGACCAAAACCCTTGTAACCCGAGTTGCTTAATTTTGAGCCACACGTAAGTGCCGCATTCTCCGCTCGGATCCCCTCGCAGATCGCTTCCGAGTGGCCGAGGACGTGTCGGGCAGCGGGTGCGTGGACATCGGCGCGATCCAGCGGCGCTGGGGCTGGGACCAGAAGATGACTTTGGACATCCTCAGCAAGCGCCCTGTCTCAAATGGCGGGTCCAAACCCAAATCGGTTAGCCCCCAGTGAACATCCGATTCAATCCAACCACTAAAATAGTCTTTGACATGGGTGTTGAATTCACCTATCCCAAAATGGACATGGACACCCATATGGCGCGGTTGTCAAAACCGTTTTGGGGTCGAATTCACCACCCATTTGAGAGCCTATTTTAGTGGGGATTGGGATGTTCACTGGGGGTACGGGATTTTGACCCATGAGGTTCCCTGGAAGGTCCATTTTGGAGAAGAGCCGGTTGATTCGGTTGCCTGGTTCCATGAGGGGTTATACTGTGGATGGTTGCGAAATCCATTTCGCAGCACTTTGAAGCCATGTTTGAAACCACTGTTGGTTGGTATTTACAGGGGAATCATCATGCCAGGGTTTCTTGGGTGGTACAGGATTTTGTCCATCCACAATCGGGAGCTACTGCGCCATGATTTCACCGTTTTCAAAGTTTCCCCCCCCAAGTAGCAGCTCAAAGGGAAATCGACAACCAGTTTCTGACTTTGATAACCCCCAGAAACAGCGAACAATAATGAGGGGGCCACCTCAAAGTAGTTGGCGGACCATGAGTCCCCACCAAAATGCTCTCCATGAAAGGGTCCCTAAGGTTCCTATTCACACGGGTGTTTCTGAGAATAGAGGACCCCAAAGCATGGCCTAGCCAGTGATCCCCCAAAAGCAGCACCCTCAGAACGGGCGTTTCCAAAAATGGACCGCTTTTATGCATGAACATGATCGTTTTAAGACTCATCCAAAGTGAGTTTCCCTTTGGGTGATGTTTAAAGCTGGTGGAAACCAGTGGTTCAAAGGTTGGACATGCAGTATAGCACGAAACCCCAAAAAAGGGATGATTTATTTGGTCCCTTCCTGGTTCGAAGAGGGTCATACTGTTGATGGAAGAAATCTTGCATGAGCTTGCAAGACTACATGTTTGCCACCCCGCGCCCCCTACTTAACATTGAGCTGCGACGCAGAGTTGTCAATGACCTAAATCTTGCAGACCCAACCCAACTTGGCCAAACTGAGCACTAATGTCAGAACGAGGGCGCGGGGCAAGTCGCAACAAGATGGCTTGGATCCCAAAGTCATATAAGCCCCACTTTGCCATTTGAGCAGCGCCCAAAACCAATTCCCATCGGCCATTTCAGGCGGTTCAGTTCTTTACCTGGTTTAATAGGGATCATTAGAAACGCCTGGCCCCTTTTTCTCACCATATCGGTAAGAGCCAAATGGGTTATTTGTCATGTCGTTTTGCACGCTTAGGCTGGCACTCGTACATGGCGGTACCATCAACAAGAGACAAAGACAAAGACATTTTGGGTGCTGCTCAAATGGGCGCTGAAACACCGAGGTCTCCGAAAGTGATCCAAAAAGAAACAGCCCAAACAGCGTGCCTGCCCGACAAGCGCTGGACCCCAAAACAGCCGCCAAGCCGCCCCCTGCATAAATTGCGCCCCCCAAAATGAAAAAAGGGGTCCCCACAAAATGGCTCTCCGGTAGAAGCCGCTCCCTTGCAATGGCTCGTAAAAAGGCACCCAAAGCATGGCACCTTAAAATGGCGGCGCCCAACATGACGCCCAACAATGGCCTTTGGATCAGGGTATCAGGGACCCAGCTCTTTGCCGACCCCTGATGAATAACCGCCCCGACCCGATTAGGGCGTGTCCCTATCTAGTGGGGATTCTGGACCCCTGATTCATAAGACCCCGTTTAGGTTTCAACATCACCTTTAGGAATGGCTAACTTAATGTAATCCAGAATCCCAGGCAAAGCATACCCACGACTTGCCAGGTGGCTTCCCTTTGGGGTCTAACGTGGGAATTGCGGTTTCGAGCCCAATTGCCTGCTCTCTTCCAATTTTTAAAAACCTAAAGGAGGTTGGCTCAAACAACAGCGGATCAACGAACTGGCTGGTTCAGCTCCTTTGGAAGGGTTGCAACCTCTGGTCAACCCACCGCTGGTCAACCCATCCCTTTAGGTCAGGAGCCTCACACCCCTACAAATCGGTTTCCCCATGCATTTGGCAAGTGGACACAAAAAAACCCCTCCAGCCATGGCTCGTTGCAAATCAGAGAGGTCCTTTCCTTTGCAAGTCGCCGGGTGAAAGTCGACGGCGCGAGAAAAAGCGAGGTACGACCTCTCGGCCGATGGCGCGGGGCCCCAATGGTTGGGATGCTCACATCAACCCTGGGATTTTGGGGTAGGTGCCAAGTGGGGAGTCGGACGCCCCGACGCGGATTCTGTCTTTCCTGGTTTCCGGTTCCGAGCCTCAACAAGACACAAACCCAAATGGACCAAACCTGGGATCGGTGCGTTTGGGGGCGGAGCTTGCTTGGGCCAAGATCAGAAGGCTTTTACCTGCTGGGGGAAGGAACGCCTTGTCGCCTGCGGGAGGACGGGGTCCCAGAATTTCCAGCCGAAAGGCAGAAGTAACCCCGAGCCAAGCAATGGCCTTAACAATCTAGGATGCTTTCAGCAAGCATGCAGTTGCATATCGGTTTTTTTTTTTTTTTTTTTTTTTTTAATATATATAAACAAACTCCGGGGAGAGAGGCTTATCCAGGGCACTTTTTTCCCCCATTCACTCAAACAAGAAGGATGGTGGAACAGCGTGGGTTAAGGACTCAACCTGTTACATCATTGATCCCCAAGGCAAATGAAACCCAGATGTATCGATTATCAAACCGTAGAGTCGCTAAAAACTCAGTGTGCGCCGCTTTCTTTCAGCGGCACCAGCTATTTGCCCTTCACTTTCTGGAAAGGATCCAAAGAATCTTCCCAACCAATGGCTTGGTGCATAGACGCGCATTCCAAAACAGGAAAGTCGTGGTCCCAAAAAAAGGCGACGGGTCCCAGAACCGGCATATGGCTTTGTGTCTTCCTCTTCTGCTTTTGTTTCTTGGAATCCGCTTTTGGTTGGTTTTCAATGGACACCGCATGGGGAAAATCGGGCCCATAGCTGTGCTCGATTCTTTTCTTCGAGACCAACCTGTATCTACGTTTGGGAGGCCAGAGTCTGGCCCGCCGGTAGCCGTGAGGTGAACACGTTGAGAACATCGTTTTGTTTGTTGCGATCTCAAGAGAGTCTGATGCTCTGTGCCTGCTGTTGATGTACCATGATGGCTTGTCTTCGAACATGGGTAGTCCAAATTAAACCGCCAGGGGACCGCGGGTATTGGTCTTTGCTTCCATCTACCAGGGCAACCCATTTTTGGGGGTTTCTCCACGCACCACCCAAGAAACCCTAGAATGATTCGATTCCCCCATGTAAATGCCAACAAACCTTATGGTTTCAACCATGGTTTCATTTCGTGGTGCGAACGGATTTCGCAACCATCCACAGTATTTGTGACCCGCGGCCAAATGGACGACACCGCGCCCGGCAACGAGGGTGTCTGGACAAGGGCGACTTTCTGCGGATGATGTGCCCGGACGGCTACCGTCTGCCGTCCATGGAGGGCGAGGCGAGTCGCGTCTCAAAAGAAGCGAGCGGCTTTTGACCGGTTGTCGGGCGGGAAGTTCGATTTTCTTGAGGGACCCTTTTGGGTGGGCCGTGTTTTGGGTGGGCCTTTTTTCTTGGGTGGTTACCAAAATCAGTGGATGGCCTTTATGGTTTTCAATCTTGTATTAGACTGTCAGTGGACCCCTCAGACTCGGTGGTTTCCTTGTCAGGTTTCCCTTTCAAGCCAAAGCCTGGCTTCCATGATTGGGCGTGTCTTCTTTGAGGTGACCGTTTTCTGAGTACTTTAAAGAGGGAAGCCAAAGGAAAGCGCAGGGAAACCAGAGGAAACCAAAGGGAAACCGAAGCCCATGCTTTTTGTCAGACAAACCCCAATCTGTTTGCATTGCCAGACTCAACCCGCGAAACAAGGAAAACCAGGGTAAGTGAAGGTTAGTGAGGGACAGCTCCAACATAAATGGGCGTCAGCGCCTTTGCGACTCTTCATTTTTTCTCTCGGGGTAGACCTCTCAAATAACTCGGGTTGATTATGGTTCATTTTATTTTTTTCTTGCATACAGTTCTAGGGGTATCTTCTATTTCCATTCTTTCCAGGGATCCGAATCTTTCTAGAAAATCACCAAAAACCCTGGGGAAATGGCGATCGGTTTGTGAAAAGAACGATGGCTGAAAAGAATGGGGGAATAGAAAAGTCAGCTTTTCGTAGGGGAATGTACCAACCCAAAAGCAGGCCTCCGAGCCTCTGAACACGGAACTCTCGGGCTTCGGGCTTCGGTCTCCCACCATTTCCCCTTTTAAGCAGACGTGACACGTGTCGTGTAAACACTATGTTATCTATTCAACAATGCAGAAAAGTCTCCAAACAGCATTCTCCAACATTGAATCAGAGCAGCAAGGGAGGCTATGGGAAGATGGCCCTGAATGGTCCTCAATAGACTCTAACAATGACTAGTCACTCGTCACCAGCCTGCAATGGCTCCCCTTGCTGCTCCGAAAAAGTAAATATCATGAATAGATTGGCATCACAAGGGTAGAAAGTTGGTTCTTGTCGCCAAGTTTCTATTGTGCGACCTTGAGGTCCCTTCGACTTGTTGGTCTCGCAAGTGGCTCTTCCATGAAGCCTACAAAAGGTGATCGAACTTTTGCATGTGGGGCTTGCAGCCTCAAGCTAAAGAACCCCTAAGAGTATCATCTTCCATTTGCTTAGTAAAATGTTCTTATTTCCCCTGTTGGTTTTCAGGGAACCTATCACATATTTTCCCTCCACTCTTTAAGCGAACCTATCTAGCAGATGGGGGTCAGAAACAATGTTTTGACACCATTTTCTGATATTTGTTTCCGGTGAATCAAGATCTCTCGTGGCTTCGCCAGGACCGGGATGTCTTCGGCATGCTGCTCACCGGCAGCATCCGCCGCTCGGCCATGCCGTTGCGTTGGCGCACCCCATTTCTTCCTCCAAAGTTGGGTTGAAGAGCCAGACGCTGCCTGCTCAAATACTGGTTTTCACATCCCAGTGATTCAATTTAATGCCCCAGTTGTGAAGCTGACAACCCCTAGCTCAACCCCGCCCCCCGCCCCCCCCCCCCCCCCGAAAACTCAATGGTTTTCACGAGATTTGTATTTCGCCTGAACACGGAGCATGTTTCTTGGGGGTTCAGAAAACGTTGAGTTGGAGGTAGCCTTCTGCCCCACCTTTCGCGCCTCAGCGTGCAGCCCCGTGGGCGTGGCTGCCAAATGGGTGTGGCTCAAATTGGGGGTCCAACATTGCACCCTGCCAAATGGACTAACAATGCTAGGGGTTGTTTCCCGATTCTTTTGAACCATCGCTCTTTTCGAAGACCGGATCCGTTTTCCTTGGGTTTCTGGAGGTCTGGAAAGATTCGGATCCCTGGGTTCAGAATGGGGGAGGTAGCCCTAGAATGCCTGAGTAACCCGAGCACTTGAAGGTTGAGCCACACCCAAGTCACCTGCATGAGAGTCAAGAATGATCATGCAGCGAGTGCGGCCACGACTGAATAGTTCTGAGACTGGAAGCTTGGACCAAGCCAACCAGCTGCAGCAAGTGTGTAATATATATATATATATATGTGCGCGCGTATGTGTTCGTACGTGTGTTCGGGGGTCCTCGACCCCCGCACCGCGGGCTCAGTGTGGCTGGAGATATCTGGCGGCGTCGAAATTTGACACCTGCCAAGGGATTGACTCGAAAGGGCTGTCGTGAGCGTTGGGTTTCTGAACCCATGTTTTTTGGTTGATTTCTCGAGTTGTTTTTGGGTTTGGAGTCTCTTCCATATGTAGAATTTAAATAGAAATATGTCGGATTCGGCTTACAATGTGTTGGATTCTATTTTTCAAGACTCTTTCCAGATCTCTTCCCAGGTTTTTGTGGATTTCTCGTTTATTTTTTGGGGGGGCCATGTTTTTGTGGATGTCTCGAGTTTTTCTCGAGTTTTTTTGGGGGGTGTGGCGTCTCTTCCCAGCTCCGGGCGGCTTCAAAGGCTACCTGCACGAGAAGATCGCCGAGAGCACGGATTTGTATTCGGTGAAGGACAGGAAGCTGGACAAGGCCAGGACGGTGAAGTGCCTCGGCTTTTCTTTCTTCTTCTTTTTCTTTGGTGCGGGTCTCAGGTGTGGGGGTGGTACCTTCAAATCGTCTTAAAGGTTTTTTTCCGGGGGGGGGGTCCGGGGTGGGTTCCGCGAGTGGTTCTGGTTCATAGGGCGGTTTCAAGGAGGGTTTCAGGAGTCCGCGAGGGTTCTGGGAGGGTGTGGTGCTGTTGGGGATATCGCCTGAGCTTATTTTGCTTTTTCCGGCTTCTCAGATTAGGTTTGGGGCTGTCGTATTTGGAGGGTACCCTCAAATCGTCTTAAAGGGAAACCACGAGGAAGGTTTTGTGGTGGCGTATTTGGGTACCTTCAAATCGTCTTAAAGGGGAAACCGCGAGGACAACCCATTCTTGTTTGGGGGTTGCCTTTGTTTTGACACATGCCCAGAATTCCCTTTTTGGTGGCTTTGAACATCACCTGGGTTTGCCTTGGCGGTTCAAAGAAATCTCAGGATCCCTCGTTTCCCCGCACTGATCCTTTTCGGCCTTCGGCCTCAGGCGCGTCCTTTCTCCCCAAACCGCGTCTCAGCGCCGGCGGGCGCAGTGACTTTCTTCCTGTGTCATTCCTTTCGGTTGTTCTCAAAAGGGTGGCCCCGGGGTTGTTTGGCTTCAAATGGAAGACGCATCCGTCAGGGGCCCTGGTCCCATGTTCTGCAGAAGCGCTGGTGATCCCAGCGAGGGAACTGAGCGCCCTGCAAGTGGGGTCTGTTGCAACCCCTTGTTTTGGTGGCTCCCAGCCATCCGGTTCCTTAGCTTTTTAGATCCTTTTAGTGTTTAGTGGTAGTTTCCATTTGAACCACTAAAGTGAAACTTTTAGCGGGGGATCTGAGGGCAGCCCAGAATAGATTGCCCTTTACCAGGTGGTTTGAACCATAAAGATTCCATCCGAAGGCTCACAACACCCCCTTCCTTTGTGGTTGTTTTATTGGGCGGCAGCAATTGCGTCGCAATTTGGCATCTTTCGCTTGCTCAATCTTGGTCGACTCCTTCACGTGCTCCACATGCCACCTGTGGACGGTTTTCAAGAGGACACCTACCACTTTCGGGAGGTCGCTCATTTGGAAGGACAACCACAACTGCCGGCAACAGCCATCAACGTGACGTCAAATCAACAACAAAAGGAGAGAACGCCAGTCCGCAACATTCTCACAGCACGACAGGCACCATGCAGAGGGGTTGCTGCAAGCCAGAAAAATGGTGAATACCCTCCCTCCAACTAACATGGCAAATGACACGGGCTCCCTTCAAAAGGAAATGAGTCTTCCAGGTACCTCCAGGTGCCATGTTAGTTGGAGGAGGGGTATTTCCTTTTGGCTTCTTTTACTGGGGACCGACATTCTACCAACTTTTTCCGATCCGGTCTATGTGGACTTCCTACGTTTCCCATGTCTTGAGCTACGCATCACCATAGCTACGCATCACCAGAAGCTTCGCAACTTCGGCCCTTTTTGGGCTGATTTGAAGTGAGTTGGATTTCCGGGCGATGTTTGGAGTGGAAGATGTAGAAAACTGTTCATCTTGTTCAGGGAATTGGTCGGTTGGCCAACTATTTCAAGCCACGGGATTTCTTCGTAATTTGTCGTCATACTGTGGATGGACGCACTTCATTTCGCACCAGCCAAGAAACCCTAGACTGATGATTCCCCTGTAAATACCAACAAACAATGGTTTCAACCATGGTTTCAAAGTAGTGCAGGATTTCGTCCATCCACAGTATTTGTCCTTTTAGGTTTTATTCATCCCCGGAGTGTCCCAAGATGTGGCTTGAATCATCGCCTTTCGCGCCAGATCCAGTGAGTTTTTCCTTCTGGGGTGTTGTTTTTAGGTTGGAAATAACGTTTTGAGGCCTGTTTCCGCATGAGGAAGCGGCGCCCCTTTGACCGCGCCACATTGGGCCGGATTCCCAAAAAGGACGTCTGCCCTTGCCCAAATGTTTTAGCAGCTGGTTTCGGGTTATTAAATATGGACCAGAATCTGCAAGATCATTTTCGCCGGGACAGAAGCTTAGCTATCGTTTGTGCCACAAAGACGAATGGCTCACTTTCGGTTGATAGCACCCACTTATCCCTTCAAAAGTCCTCTTTCCAGCACCAGGGTCACGCACTTTGCTTAAGGAAAATGGTCCAGGGCGCTTCCCCCACTATGTGGTTTAAGCAGCAGTGGTTCAAAGGTTGGGATTTTCCATAATTGGGACCGCACAGCGCGGAAACCGCTGGTTGAAACCTCGTTGGAGCTTGAAGCCTCTTTGGTTGACACCTCCCGAGTGGTTGAAGCCTTGAAACCTAATGGGGGTTGAACCTTGATGGAGCTTGAAACCGTGTCGGGGCTTGAAACCTCGTTGGGGGTTGACCTCGTCGGGGCTTGAAACTTCCTTGCGTTGACACCTCGTTGGAGGTTGATGCCTCGTTGGGGGTTGATGCCTCGTTGGCGTTGAAACACGTTTGGATGCTGAGACTCCATTGGAGGTTGAACCGCCATGTAGGTTGAAGTCTGTTATCAACGCTGAACAGGGTGAATCGCCGTTCCTCTCTTCTAGAGTGGGTTGCTTGGCCAGGGGACTACTAGCTGCTGGTTGGAAGGGAGCCAAGGAGCTGTGGACATCCACAATTGTTTTTAACAGAAGGAGCTGTGGATGTCCCCTGGTCACTCGAACAAAGCAGCTGACAGCCGTGCTGTGTGTTGGGGTGTATTCAAAATCCAAGCCCGGTCTCTTCTTTTTAACGCAACCCGTGGGCTCCTGAACACTACGGGGTTTTGCTTCCTGGAGTAGGTAGTAGGTGCTCTTGTGGGTGCTTTTCCGGGTCCTCGGGTTCATCGCCGGTGCACATGTTGCCGCCTGACCGTACACGACTGGCACACAGACAACGAGATCTTTGTCACACAGTCTCTTTTCGCGAGGGTCGAGGATGCGCGCACCCCAAAAGCGCATCCATCAAGGAAAGCGCTGGGGAGCCGGTTGTGGCATCCCTTCGCTTTGGCTTTGTCCAGGTTCCCTTAGGAGGGTTTCGCGTAGATCTGCCAAAAGATTTTCCTGAACGCCACTGCAGCTGCGGTAGGTGGGTCTTTTCCGGGCAAGCGGGCATTCTAGGCGCCCTGGCCCGCAATGGCTTTCTGGGCATCACGTGCTGGCCCGCGCAAGCAGCTGGGAGCCATGTTGCCTTTTTCGATTCTAGGTTTTCTTCCGCGCGCCGCGGTCTAGTTTCAGCACGCCCGGGCCCAGATTTGAGGAGTTGTTGAAGGGTCGGTCAAGGTTGCCGGGCTGTAAGCAAAAGAGCTGTTGCAGGGGTGCGTTTGGGCCAGTTTGTTGTTTGTCGGCTCCCTTGCGTCAAATGGCTTGGGCCGGCGTCAAAGCAGATGTTTTGCCGGGGGTTGTTCCGCGGACAGATTTGGGCCAGCAAGTTAACTTCGCTGAGTTAGATTGTCTTGGCTGTGCTCAAAGAGGTGCTTTGACGGGAGCTGTCCCTTGTTGTCTCTCAAGATTAATGGAGGCAGCGGCGTAATTGGTAAGCTTGTCGTAGTTTCTTTTGGCAAGCCCAAAGGCCAGCCTGCAGATATGTTTTGTTCTTGTTGTGCATGATGTCTTGCCGGGGTGTTCTTTCGCTGTCCGGCTTGCTGCTTTCTGAGTATGTGTTAAAAGCTGGGCGCCCCAACACAGGTGGTTCTGGAAGCTGACCTGATGGTTTTCTCACACAGTTGTCCGTTTCGAAACATCCCAGAAAATTGAAACAGCAAATGGACACATCCACCAAAAAAGTGTAGAACTCCCCAAAGACTCCCCTTTGAACGCTCGCCGTGCGCTGGAGGGTTCCTGGGTCCTGGCCTTTTTCAGCTGCCTTGACATGAAACCAAAGAGAAAACCTTTGGGGTCCTGTTGAAAAAGGCCGAAGGGAACCATAGCGAACTGACCCTCCCACTTCAGCTCCCAAGGCCCATGCCGTTTTCTTTACTGCCAGAAGTTCCTGAAGGGACATGGCTGTATTGGCGCCTCGGATGGCACGCGCTCGGATCGCGCGGGCCAGTGCCCGGCAAGGGATTTGAGCATTTGGCCCTTTTGGGCGAGTTGGGTGATCCAGCTTCCAACCTCCCGCCCCTCAAGCTGTCGGAATGTTTTTTCACAGCCGTCCCGAACAAAAACTTGCGAAGCGGAAGAACCCTAGGCAAAATGGGACAACCTTGGCCGTTCGCTGATTTCTTTCTTCAGAAAACCTTCTTGACGTCGTGTCTAGGTCCATCTATTTGATTGGTCGCATGAAGCTTTCGCTTTCAGCCCATCCAAAGGGACTCAAGCCTGGTTGGTTGAATTACTTTACAATTTTTGTTTACCCACCCTTTGTGCCTGGTACGACTAGAGGCTTTTGGAAGGGTCCGGTGCCTGTTTGCATGGTTGACACCAACCAATTTCCGATTGTTTTGTCTGTCGAGTTTTTCTCATGTCAGACACATGTCTTGTTGCTACTCCCAGAAAAATCATTCCTTCCGGTGTTTCGCAGTCCACAAACTCCGACTGAGGAATGAACTCTTTAGTCGTCTTGATGCCGACCAGGCTGGTGCCACCGCTTCCGCCCCCCCCCCCCCCCCTTTTTCTCGAGGAATCCCTAGGAGATTCCTCCGACCATGGGGTGCTTCTCCAAAAAAGAACGGCGTCTTTTCTTCTACGGTGGGCGGATGGAAATCTGCACCACTGAGCAAACCCTGGAATGATTCGATTTGCCTGACTTTGTTGGCCTGCTGAATGGTTGTCCCGCTGCTGAAGATGATCAGCCTGAGTGCAACATTGATCAGGGGGCGGTGGGGAAATCAAAGTTCTACATGGGTTTGACGCTTTGAATCTTCGTTTACCAGGGAAACCACGCTACCCACCTGTGTTGATCCGGTTCGAACGCACCGTGCTTTGCCAGTCAAATCAGCATGCCGGGAGCCACATGGATGGGATGTGTCCATAGTCGCGGCTGGTGAGGAGTTGGGCAATGCGTTGCTAGAGGCTGGGTCTGGGTAAATCATGGACCATGTGAGGGGCAACGAAATTCCGCGCGCTTTGCAAGGGGCACCCCTTCGGGCGAAGGTGGGGGGATGTTGTCAACGATATTGTTGCCTTCCGAGGAGCAAGGGAAGTCAGTCTGGGTTGAAACTGTGATGCTTGGTTGACTTACTTGCAACTTTTGGGGAATGAATCGTAGCAGGCGAACAGTTGGTGTAGTCCCCCCTGTAGTGATGGTGATTTGCCCGTACAACAGGAGCGCGGCCAGTTTCCAAGCGGGCTGGTGTGCCCGCCCCCACCCCCCGATTTTTCCACCCCCCATTGTGGGACCCTTACTTCTGGATCTCATTCTTTGCCAGACTCAGCTTCCCCTTTTCAACTTTTAGCCTTGGCTTCCCTTCATTTTCATGCACAAAGCAGAAGTCAGAGTTCTGCAAGGTTCGTGGAACCGCACAAATTTCGCCGGTTTTTGCTTGCCCGCGTGTTTTTTCATGTTGCCTCATATTTGGGAACCCTCCCCCCCAGTTCTTGGCAAAGCCCGGGCAGGACGACCACGTGGGCGAGCGGGACCTGCTGCGCGCCGGGCTGCTGTCCCCGGAGGCCTTTCGAGACGTAGGAGCCCCGCTTTCGGGGGATTCCTGAAAGGAAACCACCAGTTCGGGTGGGTGTCGGGTGTTGGGGGTGTTGGGGTGTTGGGGTTGTGGGGTGTGGGGTGTTGGGGGTGTTGGGGGTGTTGGGGGGGTGTGGGGTGGGGGGGTGTGGGGTGTTGGGGTGTTGGGGTGAGCGGGGGGGGTGGACAATCCGATGATACCAGTGGTGTACCTGAAACAGGAAGTCATCCCCCAGCCTTGGCTGGATAGTGCGAATCAAAAGCTGACTATGTATATACATAAAAATATATATCATGTACATCTGTATGTATGCACATATATAGGATCTTACCGCCTCCTTTTTCGCACAGGAACGTGTTGAGGGTGGTGGCTTAGATCACGTGTAGTCTATGGTCGTTTTGGGAGGGACACAAGCGACTCACCCAATTTCCCTCAAGAACCAGCGGGCCTCACTGATTGTTGTATGTTCTCTTGAGGACACATGGTGGACATGAAGCTCTCTGTGTAAAAGGTCCTCACTTAACATTTGAATTCAGAGCTTTACAGACAGAGATCAAGAAAGCACCCCCCTCCGCACTGGCATCTACAAGTATTTTTCAGATGAACACGGAACCCAACAAACTCTCTCGCTTGCGGAGGCCATCTCCCTTAAGGGGACCCCTCTTAGGTGTTTCATGCTCGGTTGGTCTTGCGATCTGAGCCTTAGCCCAGTTTGGCACCTCAAAAAAGATCCGCGGCCTAAAGGGGCCCGAGCCAACTTGAAGTTCCACTGGACCTCCAGGTCAAAGGCGCGTAAGAGGGCGGAATTGTCGCTAACATTGATTTAGCTGTCGGGCCCCCCCAAACCTATGCTAGGCCCATTCTAATAAAAAAAGGCCCCTATGCTAGCAACATGGTGCTTTTTCAGGTGTTTTGTTAAAGCCACGTGTTTTTGTTGAGTGAAAGAAACCGTGAAGGACACATGGGATTGCTTAGCATTTCAGGGAAAATGTTTCGGGAAGAATCGCCAAGATGGTTTCAGAGGCGATTCGCCTCTCAACAGAACCTATTTGCTCAGTGTTATCCCTTTCCATGTTCTTTTTTTGCTGGCCCCCCTCCAAAAGTGGTCCGTCCGAAGAAGCGTCGCTTTTCTACCTTTAGGCTCACTGGCCCGGTTACCTTTTTGTTTTTTCCTTCATTTTCGGGTCTACTTTGGTGCATTTTGCCAAGGGATGTTAGGACTTTAACAACTTTTTGCCAACTAATGGGTTTTCCGTATTGAACCACTGAAAGTAAACCCACTAAAGTTAAACCCACTGGTAGTTTCCGTTAAGCCACCAAAAGTTAGTCACTTTTAGCAGAGGAGCCTAAAGATTTCGCAACCGAGTCCAACGTGCCGAGTCCAAGGAGGTGGGTTCCAGAACCACGGAAGTCAGCTGACGCCAGGTTGCGAAGCATCTCATGACCATCATCGACCCCGAGCACCCCGCACCTTGGCCGAATGCGATTGCCTCAGCAGCTCTTTGCGAGTTTTTTTTGGTATTGCGAATCTTTTGAGATCCGCTGTATATATATATATATGTTTGCGAGTCTTTTTTTGGATATTGTTTGGTATTGCGAATCTTTTGAGATCCGCTATACATATATATATATATAGATCTGTATAGCCTGGATCACCAGTTGCGATCGTTTTTTTGCATGAGCTGTACCCCAAAAACCAGCAACAGTGAGCAACTTGGCTATCTAGGTGAGTTTTGTTTTGCTGTTTTGGTATTGCGAATCTTTTGAGATCCGCTATATATATATATATATAGGTACAGCCTGGATCACCAGTTGCGATCGTTTTTTTTCCTCGATGAGCTTTACCCCAAAAACCAGCAACAGTGGCTGAAAAAAAACAGCAACTTGGCTATTTAGGTGAGTTGTTTTTTTTGGGATCTTTGTTGGTATTGCGAATCTTTTGAGATCCGCTATATATATATGTATAGCCTGGATCACCAGTTGCTGTTTTCTTTCATGAGCTTTACCCCAAAAACAGCAACAGTGATTGAAACAAACAGCAACTTGGCTATCTAGGTGAGTTTTTTTTTTGGATCTCTTTTTGGTATTGCGAATCTTTTGAGATCCGCTATATATATATACATAGCCTGGATCACCAGTTGCGATCGCTTTTTTCCATGAGCTTTACCCCAAAAGCCAGCAACAGTCACTGAAAAAGACAGCAACTTGGCTATCTAGGCGAGTTGTTTTCTTTGTTTTTGGGATCTCTTTTTGGTATTGCGAATCTTTTGAGATCCGCTTTCTCTCTCTCTCTCTATATATAAATATATAACTTGGCATTTCTGGACCCGCGTCAAAGATACTGTTTTGGGTCGGGAGGTCGTGTTCGTTGCGCCACCCGGGAAGCGACGTGTTAGATACCGGCGGCGCGGCGAGATCCGCACACCGAAGCCCCTTTGAGCAAGCCACGCGAGCGCCGAAAAAAAACCCCGAGGGCCATAGCAGTGGTTCTGCTACCTGGCTTCGGGCTTGGAGCAAGGCCTAGGTATTTTTTTTAAATAGCAACCTCAGTAGAAGCAATTTTGTGAATTGGGGTTTGGAGCCTGCTCAAGTGTTGATCCCTTGAAAACAATATCCGGCCTCAGCGCCAGTTGTACAGTTGCATCGTGTGTGCAGATTCATGGAGCTATCCTTTTATCAGGGCACCGAGTTGTTGTTTCTCTTCAACCCCTTTTCACCCCTGTTTTGGTTGTTTGACACATGTTGACCCATTGTTGTCTGCCTCCCAAATCTGCCCCAGCGCTACCCCTACCCGACTGTATAGCTGTCGCCTGGCCAAGAAAGCCACACTTATGGCACTGGATTTGCAAATGCATGAACCACCCCTGCCCCCGTACAGTGCATCCTCCCTGGCATCCCCCCCCCCCCCCCATTCGCATGCCCGGTGTTCGTTCGGCTCATCCGAATTCTGGCAGGCCAGCTTTACGCGGCGGGGCTTTCTGACCGCCTGTCTGAAAGCCAGCGGCTGTCGACGCACCAAGTTCGAGTGTGGGCGATGACGGGGGATCCACAAGCGAGAGAACAGAGGGAACAGAGGGAAGAGGATTGAACAGAACCGAGGGGACATAAAGAACAGAGGATTGACAGAACAGAGGATTGACCGGGGATCCACAAGCGGCGCTTTAGGCTCCTGCTCCTTGCCGCAAGTGAGGAGCACTTTCCTCCCTTGACGGTAGACCCCGAAATAAGAATTTCTCACAGCAAATCTCTGGTCAAGCCATAGGGATCACTGGGGCTGACCGGGCGCTCACCGAAAGGCCGCCAGGGGCTGAAGCAATGGAGAGACGCCCTGAGCCACGGCACCCTTCTCATCTCATTAGCCAGGTTCGCTTCCCTTTCAATCATGGGGAGCCGGCCTGTCTAATACAAAAGGCTCAATAATAACATACGTTATTCTCGTATGATCATGGTCAAGTGTGGTGGTTAAGTACCGCACAGCCCCATTCCAATTGTTTGTGGAAACACACATCCTGAATTGAACGACCGCAGCTCGCATCCAACAGGTACGACCAAAACAACACTTGCGGAAGGCTGGGACTTACTTGGGGGTCTGTTTGAATGCAAGTGATGCTAGACACCTGGATCGCCAGTTGCGATCGCTTCTTTCCATACACTTTACCCCACAAACCAGCAACAGTGACTGAAAAAAACAGCAACTTGGCTATCTAGGCAGCAGCATTTCCCACACCACTTGGCGAAACGCCCCATGGGCCTCCGATTGCGCGGAAATTCATGCGATCAATTTGTTGGAGCAGGGTGCGGCGAAGCCGTTTCGCTCTCTCCCAGGGTTTTTGCAACCCTGCACGCTCCGCGTTCGTTTTCAGCGGGCGGAAAAGAGCCGCCAACCCGGACCAAGCTGCAATGAACTTGAATTGCGAACTCACGGATGGGTGAATTGGCGTGTCTTTTTGTGAGCGTACCCATTTTGAGGTGGTTTGCAAAGGACACCAACAGGGAAAAACCGCCATTTTGTGGGGGGGTCCGGCCGAAAAAGAAGGCCACTCGCATTGAGCCTGAAAAGGCGGTCCTGTTCAATGGGAAAAGGGTTCTAGTTCTTTGGCGCAGGCGCCCCCCGAAGAGAAGTTGTCTCAAGGTTCCCCTCAATTTCCCATACTAAAGCAACAAACGGCCAAAAAACCCAGCTCGGCCATGGGCCAGAAATTCAGAAAGGTGAGGTTTCAAGCCACCCATTTTGGGAAAGATTGGTGTGTCTTAAAGTCGAGGGACACGTGCAATTGGTGCTTTCCTTCTCGTCTCCCTGTAGCTGCGGGTTCATGATTCTATGCCCACCCACGCCGCTGGGCCACTATCCGGCCACCTCTGGCAGCATAACGCGTGCACCTTAAAGGCCATGCAGATTGTCTCCACACTTCCCCCAGCCTACCAGCCACTCACCGGCTGCAGGCTATCTTGGAAGACGATGCGTCACACAAGTGCCGGGCCCTAGACCACAGCCTGCGCAAACTCCCCCAGTTTTCGGTGGTGGGCCGGCTACACCAACTGGCAAGAGCCGAAGCCTCAAGCATCACCAGGGCAAAGGCGTGCCCGTACACGACACCACGCCAGGAACCGAGCATCCACGCTGTCGCTGTAGCCGCCACGCATTCACCGTGCATCGCCTCTTGCCTGTCACATGCAACACATGTGCCACATGTGCAGCGATGCGTTCGGGGTTGGACTCATGTCCAAGCACATCTGAGGTGGTGCCCCACCCAAGCTTTCGAGTTGGTTTGAAGCCCATGGCAGCGACCCATAGTGGTCGTTATCGAAGTGGGGAGTGACGCATATTTGCACTTGAAATGAATAGGTAGGTTAGGGTCCAAACCTGTCAGTCGTGGAGGCTTGGGGCGTCGCTTTCGAGGGGATTCGCTTATCACCGAAAAGTGGCAAGCTCAAACCATCATTCAACTGGAGATTTGTGTTTTACTATGAAACATCATACGTGGGTCGAACACCTGCTCGCTGGTAGCGAATCAAGTGTTAGAAATCTTCCTTGTCATTGTCGCCTGTGGATGGATGAAACCCTACTGTGGATTGACGAAATCCTGCACCACTTTGAGACCATGGAAAACCATTGTTGGCTGGTATTTACAAGGGAATCATCATTCCAGGACTTCTTGGGGGGGTGCAAAATGGATCTCGTCCATCCACAGTATGAATCCTGGATCCATACCAACTGGTGCCTGGCACGGATTTGGTCCATCCACAGGGCCCGCAAAGGGTGGGTCAGGGGCCTCCGTAGGAACTCCCGACAGGTTCTCAGCCCTTCGATGAACTCCTCTTGTCAACCTTTCGGGTGCATCAGAGGTGCTCAAGTATGTTCAGGTCTCAAATCTGCAAACAGAATGCTCTGTAGATGAATGGAAGCAATCCAGACACCTGCCTTTGCTAGCTCCTACTTGTTGGGCCCATGAACAAAGCAACGCAGTATTTCCGGTCAAACCAAGAAAACTGCAGTGCCCCAACCACAACTGGCGCTGGAGTGTTTGGCCATGAAACGCTGGACTACCTGATGCAAGCCTTGTAGGGAAGCTGCGATGTTCGACGTCATTTGGTCAAGCGACATTTGTTGCAATGGGTCTTCGGATATCCCACCTTAGTCCCCTGCAATTTTCATTCCAGTAGCATGAGTTGCCCTCTTTGGGGGGGTTCAGTTCCCAAAAATATTTCCTCAACCTACTTTTTGGAGCCCATGTTTTGGAGCCCATGTGCATATAGGGTTTTTCCCGTTTTCACCCGGACATTCAAACCGTCTTTTGTTTTCCCCGGATTTTTCCGGGGGATCGATCACCGGCTCCAGGAAACTTAAGCCCCTGGACTCACTCTCCAGCGCGTGCCCGCTCGCAAGGGCCCAGCCGGCCGCAGCCGTGCTCCCCACGTCCCGTGGCCGATTTCCGCCGCGGCCGAAGCGAAAGCTCCATGGCGGGGCGCCCGAGAGGAGACGCAGCGAGTGGTATGAACTTGACGCAGCGGGTAGGAACTTGACGGTGGCTGTGGGTGAAAACCGTTTTGGGATCCCCTTTTGGTTGGGATTGGTGAATTCACCACCCATTTTAGTACCGTGATTTTGGTTGGATTGGGTCCCGTTCACTGGGGGTAATTACAGGCTTTTGACCCATGGCCTTATTGGGTTGGATCTTTAGACTTCACTTTTTGTAAAATCTAGAGGTTTCCCCATTAAACCCACGAAAGTGAGAAGCACTTTTGTGCAGAGGGGTCAGCAGCAAGCAGGTGAAGAGAGAACTGCCTGAAGCCCAGGTTTAGTGCCCCATGTTATGACCCAATTCCCCATGGCCTGTGCCTCTCTCTCTCTCTCTCTCTCTCTCTCTCTCTCTCTCTTTCTTGGGACCCTCGAAAGGTTCGCAGCCACATGCTCGGACTCTCGTTCCCGGGGACATTGCGAAGGGCTCTTCCCAAAGAACAGCTTCAGACTACACCGGCTCAAGTTGACGCTGTGAAACACATCTTCCAAAACATATCATCACCTCGCCTTCAAACTCTTTTCGTGTGTGATTCACAACGTGAAAGTCACCTTCAACCGCTGGGGTGTGAGTCACACCCGCAAGCTTCCGGGTGTCGACGTGAGAATCACAGCCAGTTTTTTTGGAGGTGTTGCCAGGCACGGTGCATCACTTTCTCACATTTTCGGTCATGGCTGTTGAGTGAAACGGCTTTGCCCGCGAAACGGGCGCTGCAAGTGGGTTTGGGACGCGCGTGCGTAACATTTGGGTCGACCAGGAGCTCAACTCGACTGCGGCAACCCTGAAGCGTGATGCTTCAAATCTTGGTCAAGCAGGGCCTGAAGTACAATCATTTTGGCGGTCGGTTTTCCCGTAGGCTGAAGCACCACACCGAGGCCGTTGAGAAGGCTGCGGCCGAAAAGAAGGAGAAGGCAGAGGCGGAAGAAGGCGCGGGGCAGAGAACTGGCGGCCGACTTCTGCGATAGGGGAACGCCTCTTCTCTTCCCCAGAACTAGCTCCCCTTTTTGCTCTTTTTTTTTTGCGATCTTTTTTGGGGTTCGCTTTGTTTTCCACTCACCAGGCAAAGATAATTGTCTTGCTGGGGTAATTCTAGCCCAGTTTTCCTCACCGAAGGACCCCAAGGGAACCAAAGGCGCGACGCTGGACCTTCCCGCGTGAAGTTTGGTCTCGTGTTATGTCCTGATTCCATGGGTTCGAACCCAAGTCCCGGTTTTCTGTCTGTAGATTCGATTGAGCCCTCTTTGCCATGGGTGTGCCGTCCCAAGCCACCGGGTTTTTGTGAGGAAACCCAGAAGAAGAGGAGTGTGTGGGAATTGTTGGGCATCTTTGATTTCCTACCCAAATCCGCTTTGGCTTGCCATGGTGGGAAAACCATTTTCCGGCTCCCGTGGCTCCCTGCTTTCGAATCAAATGGAATCATTTCTTGTTGAAAGGTTGCTTTGATCCGTGAATATGGCCAACACCGTTCTGCTTCCACGGGAATTCCCGTGCGGTGATCAGTTTTCGACCTTGCGGAGCAACCCTGGACACGATTGATGCCCCAAACATTGCAGGGCTGCGCTTGACCCTGGCTTGTGGTTGCTTGACAGGCATTTTGGGGTGGGGTGGGGGGAGAATCCGCTTTGTTTCCAGACTTGGCTGACCTTTCTGCCCACAACTTCCGCCCTTTTGGGTTTGCTTCGTTTGCCCTTAGCAAAGGAGAAGCCATTCGTCTGGTCAAGGTTTTGTATGGAAGCCTAGGTCCTTGCAGGTGAGCCGAAGGCTGACCATCGACGTTTTGAATTGTTTCCAAGAGAATGGGACTGATTTAAGCGACAATACGAGCCATCATACATTGCGCCCCAGGGTGAGTAATCCCCCGGAAATTCTCGTATGCTGTGAATTAGGGCGATCGTCGACTTCGAAGGTGGTACGATTGGAATGCAGACTTTGCTCAGTGGGATTTTTCTGCGAACACTGGGAAGAAATCTGCCTTTGTTTGAGTGTTCCTTTTTTCCCTACTTTTTTTTTCCAGGGAATCAAAGGGACACAGCCCTGGAAGATTCCCCTATTTTGACAAACACCCATTTGCACGCTGTCTCCCGCTTTTTCTTCACCCTACGAACCTTTGACGGGGAACTCCAAAATTGGCTTCCCTTTTGTTTTCCCTCCAAGACCCCAAAAAAGCTTGCTGGTGCTCAGTAAGGAATGATATTGGGAATGAATCTAGGGATTCCCTTAAAGGAAATCTTTGGGGATGGTCTTCTTTTCGGGGTCATTCCATTTTTTCTCAATCCCTGACACAAAAGGCTTCTCTGTCCATGGACGGAGGTTTCTTCTGGCTCAGACGAGGGGCAGCACTGAGGTTTAAGCACCCTTGACACTCACCGAATGTAGCTACCCCTGTGCCAAGGTCTTTGATTCCCTAGATCAAAAAACCAACAGTTGGCACGGGTTTGTTCGTTCCCTTTTCCTCACCGACATGGCCGCACGTTGATGTGGTTCCCCCGTCTGAAGGTGGCGCGACCACCCTTTGTCTCAAGGCAGGTTGATGCATCATGTGGCAAGGTCTTCAAAGATGCATGGCTCAATCACCACTAGAAGGTCACCAGAGGATACGCCGCGGAATATATTTCCATCGACACCGACCTGAGAAAAAATCGTCAAAAACCAGTGTCCCAATTGTGGGGTAATTTGTGCCCTTTGTGTTTTACCCCCCTTAAAGGGATCACATAAAGGGTCCGACAAAAAGCACGAGCGCGTCGTCTCTTTTTTGAGCAGCATATGCCGAGTGACTGTGGCGATGGCAGGTACCATCAACAGCGATGTGAAGGTCAAAAAGGCCGAGAGTGACGCGAATTCGGACATTTTGCCGACGTGACTCAGGTGGGTGTTTTGCTTGGTGCTTAGCCCGTTTTTTTTTTTTTAAATCTAACAGGAAGGCCAAGGGGGAAAAGTAATTTGCTTAATTTTTCCAGACCCCTCATCTGGCATCCGGTTGAACAGGATTTGGACCCGTTTAAGCAAAAGGGGGCTCCACAAAAGACGCACCCAAAATACCTACCAAAGCAAAAACTCTACTGGGTGTGTGCTCCATTTCTTTGATATGTGACTCAGACAATCCGTAGATCACACCCCCGCTGGGCACTCACCAAATTTGCCACGAAAAAAACAGGACACACTACACGTCCCATGTCCTCTTCGGTGTTGTGATTAAAATGAGAGCGTCAACTATGCAACAATCTGCTTTTTGCCAGGGGTGAAGCAGTTTTCACTTTTTTGACCTGCGCCACTTGCGGCACAGGAACCGACAAGTACATCTCACCTACCTACCCTTTTCAACGCAACGTCGAAGTGCTCATGAAACCGAAAGTGGACCAACACCCCCAAAAATGCATTTCTGCGCAGCGCCATGGCTTTTCAGAGTTTCCCAAAGCTCAAGGGTGGTTTCAAACATCATTCTTTGGGCCACTTGATTCAACAACTTGACAATGATATCGGCCTAAATCATCACTCATAGTTTTCTCCGTGGAGGACTTTGCTTTTGATCAACCAAAGCCCAACCCGAATAATTTGATGCGCGGAAAAATCAACCCCTATGTGTCATTCATCAGGGTGAACACACCAGGCCCTCAAGTAACTACCAACTGTGATACTGGTAGGCATCTGGTGAAAAGGTGTGTCGCAAAACGGTTGCATTCGCAGCAATCCCTATGTCATGACAAGGAATCCCTTGATTCAGAGTTGACTGGCCTTGCTCTCTGACAAAACCAAAGGAGGAGAACCACTTGAATTGCAGTTGCACAAATTGCCCGAAGCGGCTATATCGACCAGTGTGGCACGATGCTGGTGATGCTGGTGATGCGTGTAATGCTGACAATGTTGGCGATGCTGTAGTGCTGGTGACGCAGGTCATGCTGACAGTGTGGTGATGCCGGTAATGCTGGTATTTCTATTCTTTCAGTGTCTGCGATGCTGGTAATGTTGCAATGTTGGCAATTTGGTGATGCTGGCAATGCTGACAATGCCAGTGATGCGTGTGCTGGTGTGTTGGTAATGCTGGCAACTCTGCAATTGCTGGCGATGCATAGTGATAGTGGTGGCAGCGGGTGATACTGCTGATGCTGGCAGTGCTGGTGATGTTGTACAAAGGCTGACCAAGTGGTAGAATCTGGAAATGCCCGTCTCGAGCGCTGCATGCTTTTGGCCCAGGTAAAATGAAAGGTTGAATCTGACTCCTCCCTAACTATTGTGTACTTCAGGGTTGGCTATTTATATTACAGAATGCGACCATCAAACAAATCTGAGTACTGGCACCCTCTGTTAGCGGCGCATCTGGGAAGCGACGGGCCATGAAAACAAAAACCAGACCCTCTGTCTCGGAATCTGGGTCTGGGTCAAAACCCCGTACCCCCAGTGAACATCCCAATCCCCACTAAAATAGACTAAAATGGGTGGTGCACCTATCCCAAAAATGGTTGCATTGGTTTTGAACCATGGCCAGCTCTTGGCAGGCTGTGGTGGGCAAGGCCATCCGGGCGCTGAAGCAGGCATCCATCGAATTTCGAGACAGACTCGAAGGGATTTGTTTCTGGAGATTCCTCGTTTTCTTTTTTCCTTCTTCCAAACCGATGCTGCGTCCAAAGGGTTCAGTGTGTTCCAGGGAGCCGATTGGCCGATCATTTTGTCCAGGCAAAGGCGGTCCTCTCATTGACTTTGCGAGCGCAGTCCTACACGATGGCTCTTTGGGAAGGCCCAACTCCTGGCGGGTTACGTGGACCACTGATTTGTCAACCCCAGTTGTGAGTCGGGTTGGAAGGAGTGAGCACGCAAAGGACTCCCTCAGTGGGGGGGGGTTATTCAGCAGGGGTCAATACTCCTCAACGGGCCTGCCCAAAAAGCAGCTGCCTGTTCTTTTCCCACAGTGAGATCAAGCATGAAGACGTCAAGGATGCGATCTCTGTTGGAAGAGCGTGTCCGAGGTACAGTTTTGGACGTGGCGACATGTCCGTTTTTTTTGCCAATGCCCTGATTCAGTTGACGCGCGATCATGGCGAGACAACTCGGGTTCAGTGCCAGAGGGTCTGACCGACCAAAGTCGTCGTTGCTGAGGTTTATGAATCAGGAATCGACGTTAAGTCCTTCTTTGGTGAACAAACAAGGGGCGAGTGGGCAAGGTCTGGCTGACACGACTGGAACCGGTGGAGAGGGGGCCAGTTGCTTTGCTTCGATCCTTGCGGTGGGCCACGGACACGAGGCTGCGGATGTTGGCGTTTCACCAAAGTGAGGTTCCCCCGACCACCATGTGGCTGTGGGTCAACACCACTGGTGCCATTTTGGTTGGTAGGTGAATTCACCACCCATTTTAGAACCTATTTTAGTGGTTGGATTGGTTGATGTTCACTGGGGATACGGGTTTTTGATTTTGGCCTGTGGCCATAGCAACGGACAATGTTACGTACCTGTCCAAGCCTTTCGAATGGAGATCCCGAGTCCTGAGAGTGCAATGCTTGGGGCGCAGATGGTTTGGCCCAAAGCTTCCAGTCGAATTTCCTGTAGCTACTTTGGTATGTGTCAAAAACAGGGGAACCCCAAGATGAATTTTGTGTTTCCCGTTATCTCTCGGTTTACCTTTGAAACCATCAAAAGGGGTCGCTGATTTCTGCGGAAAAAAAAAAAACAACATTTCCCAGAGAATCGGTGGACCTACCTCCCCGCCGAAATGATGTCCGAAGAGCTAGAACAAGTCAAGCTTTCATGTGGTAACGCCCCTTGATTCTTTTTTTGGTTTAAACAAACAATACAACAACAACAACAACAACAACAACAAAAAAAACACCGTAGCACGTGTCATCCCAAGAAACAAAGAAAACCCAGGAGGCAACACCCATTCCACGGGTCCGCTTGGCCAGCTGGTGGCGAAGCGCTCGGCGGACAGCACCCACCTCTTCGAGGAGGCCTCGGAGCCGGGGGCCCGGTGGCTCCTCCGTGTCCTTTGGCGTTTGGGATGGATTTCAAGGCAAAGTCACCGGCCTTCAGTGGTAAACCCCATATTAATCAACCCAAGTTTGCACAAAACAAATGAAACCCCCATATTTTTTGAATTTCTTTTTTTTGGGGGGGGCTCACAGGAAATGCTAGGTCCCAGTAGTGCCCTTCCATGTGAATAGGTTTGAGGCACGCATACCCTTCGGGGTTCCAAAAGAGTCGTGGTGTTTCAAGGAGTCGTCCCCTTTTTCTGGGGAATGAATCCTAACTAGGTCCCCCAGTTAGGTGCCTTTTTCACCCCCTTGTTGGTTGGGAGGTCCTGAAAAAAGTTGGTACCCTTATTCTAACCTCTCTACTCAGGGACATAGGCAAAGTAATGTTGACCCCATATGAATCAACCCAAGTTTATTAATGGGGGGGTGCTTTTCCCTGGGTGAAATGTGGGGAATCAGACCACTTTTGGAGGGAAACACCCCCCTACCAATAAACCGGGGCTTATTAATATGGGGTCAACATTCAAGGGAAACAACCCCACCAGAAATGGTAAACACCTATTGACCCCCCGTGTGGATTTTTGGAAGGGCAACTGCAGAATCACCACTGGTTAAAGGGAAACCACCAGCCAGTGTCTGATGTTGGTCCCAATAAAGAGACAATCTTAGTCAGGACCCTTTGTCGATGTGGATGAATTTCAATGCTTGGAACTGTGGATACCGTCAAAAACGGGCACCACTTTGTGGGGATTCAGGCCTTTAGAGCAGGCTACAAAGGTCAAATGGTTTCCCTTTTGGGGGATTATCCTCATGGTATTTTGGGCTTCATGTTCACTTGAGAGGAGTAGTTCCTATGTGTTTGTGAGTTTTATTTTTTGGAACCACCTCAACAGTGGTTGGTGGACACGATTCCGCAGCGAAATCCGGTTTTCACCAAAGGGTCCAACCACTTGAAATTCACACCCACTTCGCACCGTTATTTTCAGGGAAATCTTAAGCCATCGTTCCTGAGCTCTCCTCCGAAATTATGCCACGAGCTTTGAGGCTGGCTAAATAAATGCTGGTGGTTGAGCTCTTGCACCGCTGGGGGATAGATGAAGCCCTTTTCACGGGATAAGCCACCAAACCCAACTAGTGCGAAGCGGATTTTGCATTTTCAGGCAAGTGGTGCAGGATTTTGTCTGTCCACAGCGACTAAGCAATGGCTAGCATTTGGCGCTTACTGTCACGAATTAACTTTGTCGTAGGCACGCCCTCCTGGGACATGTCCAAGCCTGAATTTGGCAAGTTCAAGTCCAAGCGCTCGAAAAAAGGATCTGGCCTTCAAACATCACAGTCTTCTAGCCCGTGCTTTTCCAAAAAGAGGAATATGGCCATGGGTCAAAATCCCGTACCCCCAGTTAACATCCCAATCCCCACTAGAATAGGTTCTAAACATGGGTGGTGCAGCTACCAACCAAAATGGGCTCCCATTGGTTTTGACAACCACAGCTATATCCGTTTTGTTTTTCTTTCTCGGGTGAAACCACGCGACAAAAGGACACCAAACGGAAGGCCGAAGGAGCCCCACGGCAAAGAAACTAAAAAAGAAGAACACAAAAGAAGGACCCCCAGCAGCCAAAAAGAAAAAGCAAGCAAGCAACCACAAACGCAGCCACGCCAAAGCACCGAGAAAGCGCCGCCAAAGGCAAAAAATTGGTCGCCGCCCACTAAGTGCCGCTGGCGCCTCTTCCCCCACCGCAGCCGAGGGCCATGGTGATCCAGTTCAACCTGGCCAGGATTCCGGAGAGGCGGGGCTCGGGCTGCGTGGGGAGTCGAATTTTGGGGGAAGTTTTCGGTGGGAAGTTTGCTGTAGGTTTCATTCATTTGCCATTTTCCTTTAGGTTTCATTCAAGCCATTTTGAACAGGTGGTTCTGTCATTGGGGGTTGTTTGCATTTAGGTTTCCTTTAGGTTCTTTCCCTTTGACTTTCCCTTTTCCCCAATTTGACGCATGTGCGTCAACGCGCACAGAACAACTTTTGGCGGATCCCCGAACGATCGCGGTCGGAGAGCTCCGCAAGACTCGCAAGTGAAGCAGTTCCTCCCTGGTCTTTTGGTTGACGGTCATCCCCTTGGTGGAGATTTGAAGGGTAAGGCATGTGGCTGCCAACTGCCAACCATGAATCCTTATACTGGTTGTCTCAGCTAGAAAAACAACGTATGTGAACCAACCATGCCCAATCCTTATACTGGTTTCAGCTAAAGGCTTGAGGACTATCCCAGTGGAATCCCACATGAAGGCCTATGTGTATCGAGCAAACCCAAAGCACCTGGGAAGAGTTACCCAGGATCATTTGGGGCCATGTGTGGTCTATTTTAAAAAGCTTTGGTGCCTTTTGCTTGGGTGTTAGGACTTCAACTTTTTGCCAACTAATGGGTTTTCCATTAAACCACCAAAAGTAAAACACTTTTAGCAGGGGAGCAGCAAGCAACCGAGTCTAGCTTGTTTCGATTGGAACCTCAAACAACTGGTTCACAGGTGAGTGGCACCTGCTTTTGGATCCAAAGGATCCGGAGGTAAAATGAGTTGTTGCCCTCCAGGCAACCAAATCGGACCCCGATTTTTTTTTCGCCATTTTTTTGTTTTTACCATCTCAGTGAGTAAACTTGGTTTCCCCACCGGGACTCATAGGAAATGGCGTCTTTGTCCAGGTTGCAGAAACCATTCAGCAAATCGATCGCTTCAAGTGGGAAGCCCTTGTTCGCCTGTAGGGTGGGCTACCCGAGCAATATCCCGCTGCCTGGGGGCCCAGATCGGCTCAGTTCGGTTGGACAGCTTCGGCTCGGCTCGCTTCGTTTCCTTGCTTGCTTTTGCCTACATGTTGCGGTTGATGCTGTGCTTGTTTGTTTGTTTGTTTGTTTGTTTGTTTGCTAGGAATCCAGAGATAATCAACCCCTTCACTTTGAGGGAAACGCCACCCCTCAGAATCGTCGAGAGAAGCTCGGGGATCCCGAGGCAAATCTTTCTCGCCCCTTGTGCTGTTTGGGTATCCATGTTAGGACCTTGTTCTTGCTGGTTCGGTAGGCAGGGAATGAGAAACGGAAGGAAAACCATCCAAGCTATGTGTTTTTTGTTTTTAGGGACCCTAAACGGTTCATGCCCAATAGCCGGAAGGACAACCATTCCCTACTGAGCACCAGCAAGTTTTGGCAGACCTCGTCGGGGGGTTTCTCAAAATGGGTGTGGCTCAAAATGAAACAGCTGGGGTTACGCAGGCTTTTGTATTCGTTTCCACATACCAAGGTGCCATTTTGGGTGCACTTATTTGAGCCCCCACTCTTGAGAAACACCATATGTGTGTGGTTCCTTTCTGTCCAGTGAAGAGTTCCCTTTGGCTTCCCGAGCCAGGAAGATTTCCACTTTGGGCCCAGATGCGAGTTTTGGCTTGTTGCTCCTTGCTCCATCAGCTGCCCTGTGCTTCAAACCTTTAGCCTCCCATTTGTTCCCGTGGAATCGGAGTAAACCTGTTGCCAGTGAGTCGCCTAGCCAGCGTGTTCCCTGAAAAGGTGTGGCTACCATATTCATGTTGCCATAGTGGGTATTGGTATGGGTGTGAATTTTGGTGGGGACCCTTTGGTGGACATCATGTAGGTTGTAATTCATGTCCACCAACCACTTGTGCGGTGGTTCCGCATTGAAAAGTCATATTAAATCCCTGCGGTTAGTGTTTAACGTGGACACTATCTTACGGTGTACCAAAGCCGCATCCTAATGTCTCCCTACAATCGACTGACGATTGGAAGGTGTGAACTTCTTTCCTCTTGGGGCGGCACCCGTTGTCCAAGTTGCACCCTTTTGGTCATAAAAAAATGGGCCCTCTTTCCAACATGATACTGTGGATGATGGCAAAATCCGCTTCGCATCGTTTAGTTGACAAATAATTTATCCTACCATCGGGTTTCATGGATCCCAACTGCTGCAAATTGGATTTCGTCCATCTACAGTCGACCTTTTGCCGGGCCATACCATGAGCCGGCCCAGCAGCCCAGCCACAGCGATACTGAGGCCGCATCCCCTGTGCGCCCGAAGATCGCTTCGGGACTTGCCACAATTCCCTGATTTGTCTATGGTCCGATTGGAGGGGACGTGGGGGAACACGCACGAAGAGTCCGGCAAATCAGGAAAATCAGGGAATCTCCCATGCTTTCTCGGAGGAACAAGTCATGTTGACCGTGGTTACCTGTCGTTCCAGGGGTTCTTCTCCGCGCGGAACCAACTTCAGTAGGAGCAGCACCCAGTCGAGAAGCGCCCCAAACCCCGGTCGATAGGAACGGGGTTGTTGGAGTTTTTCGTTACTTCTGTGCTGCCTCCAAAAGACTAAGCCCCCCTAAAAAGAGGGCATTCCCTTGTATCACAGTGGGGATAAGCCCCTTGATCCCACAAACCTGTATTGCTTTCCCTGCGTCAGGTGCCAAAGTTTGACCCGATCAGGGACATGCGACTTTCTCGCAAAGTGATGAACCCCCACTGGAACACATACCCTGAAAGGAATCCAGCGGGAGTCAGGAGTTCATGAACACGGGGCTTTTTTTCCCCGTGTTGTCCAAAGGGTCCCCAATTGATATTCATAGCCATTTGGCAAAGAGAAAACGGGGACGGTTGACCAAAAGTTGGTGGCTCCACCTCAGACCTTCAAGGCAGGATTGCAATGGGCTCAGGTGTTTTCTACTTTGGGGTTGACCCAGGTCCCAAAGACATCCCAATCTGCGAACCCTCGGAAGACGGCATCGACGTCCGAATCACAACCCCAAAACCACGCCTCTTCGAAGACATCCGCGAAGTCATCCCCAAAGACATCACGGACAACCGTAAAGACAGCCCCAAAGACATCCCGCAAAGACACCCCCACAATCCCTTTTTGGATGGTTTTAATGGGGAACCAAAGGGAAACCAAACACGTGGAGGGGTCCCTAATTTTGTGAGATGTTCCCCAAGCTGTTTTTGCCCAGCATTGACCGCTTGCCTTCGGTAGCACATTGGTCGCCTCAATCACGAGGCGGTAAAGCGAGACATCCTTGTGGCATTGGTTACAAGAATTAAATCCAACGCCTCGTTGAGTGGATGGGGTTAAAAGCGAAACTGGCATTAGGCGACCCCCAATGCTTGACTGCTATTGGGTTGGATCTTTAGACTTCAACTTTTTAGGAACTCAAGGTGTTTTCCACTAAACCCACAAAAAGTTTCAAACTTTTTGCAGAGGGGTCCTTGCAGCCACCAAGAGCATCGGTTGAAACTGGGACCTTGGCACCATGGATCGCCTCGCACGGGCAGGGGGAGGGGCACAAGCGGAACACGCATAGGGTTGGGCCGCGACATTTGTTCAAGCTTGTCCCCATTGAAGGGACACCCAAAGGAGCTTTGGTGCATTTTGCCCAGGGATGTTAAGACTTTAACTTGTTGCCAACTAGTGGGTTTTCCATTAAACCACTAAAAGTTAAACTTTTAGCAGGGGGGCAGAAAGCAACCATGGGAGTTTGTTCACCCAAAGATTGGGTCTTTTCATTTTAGTTGCAATCGGCATTTCTGGAACAGATCTGTTACGTCATCTATCAAGTTTCACCCCCAAGTCGTTTGGTTTCTGCGCAAAACCACAGATTCTGGTTGAACAGGTCCGCTACCTGGAATGTTTCAAGGGCTTGACTCGCTCAACGCCGTTTGGTTTCTGTGCAAAACCGATCAGGTACACGGAGAAGTCGGAGGTGTGCTTCTTCTCCAAAAGCCCGCAGAAGAGATACAAGGAGCTCCAAAGGCAAGTTGGCGACAGCCTCGGCAACATAGAAGGCATCTCCCTTGTGGTTTTCTTTGGGATTCTCCGCAACTCGGGGTTTGGATTGGGCTATGGCTTACCCTCAAACGTCAAAAGTGGTTGGGTTGGACATCCACATTCCGAGTTTTGATGTTTAGAGGGTCCCGAAGTAAACATCCACCCCCCATATGGATGTGTTTGGTTTTCGGGGGACCGGCAAATGGCTTCGGTGGTCCTTGTGGTTTCCCTTCAGCTGCTCGGGTCTCTTGGCGCTCGGCTTGCCGGAAAGGCCCCAAGCGCTGCACCAAACGCAGACTCAGGGCAGTGGACATCAGGAGTGGAAAGGGTGATTTCTGTGATTTTCTTGAAGCCATTCATTTTTATTGGGAGTTGAGGCCACCTCGGATCCATTTGTGCCAAAATGAGGGGGTCGCTACACGCAGTGGTGTCCGGTATTTTCCAAGCTTCGTACGCCGAGCAATCGATCCTTCTTCTCAAGCATGTGGAATCTCGTTTTTTCTTTTTTCTTCCTTTTTTCCCCTCCTCCTCTCTATTTGTTATGTTATATGTTTCCCCCCGTTTCTTTTTTGTTTTTGTTTTTTTTCGGCCGCTTTCCGTACCGAACCCACTGATCTTGAGCTGCGGGGCCTCTAGCTCCAAGAGCCGTGGCTCAGGAGGCCTCTTTTTGGTCTCCGGTTCTTGTTAGGTGCTAGGGCCCGAAACAGGGGCCGTTCTGTTCATGAAACTGTTCAGCCGGTGATCTTAGAAAAGGGGGCCGTTATTCCTATGATACTCTTCAACCGCTTTCGCAAGAGTGACATCTTTTCGGAGAGACGCGTGGTATCAGAGGGGTGGGCAATTCCTGCAACCCTATGCCCCAAACGATGCGAGTTGGCCATTTTGGAAGGCTTGTACTGCTTGCCCTTCCTTCCAGGAAATTACCCAACACCCAGATGAAACAGCTTTCTGGAAGGATGGGTGAAGAGAAGCGGGTGTTTCTGAAGATCAGAAAGGGGTGGCGAGAAGCTCAACCTAACATACCGGATCCTTAATTACCTACATACATATAGTATATATATATATACATATTACAAGGTCATTTTGCATTACGGGTTATTTAATATGTTATATAAACTATTTTTTTGTAATACAACACTTTCATATTTTAGATCCTGTTTTGTGTTTTGTAATTTCTATTTCCCCGCGGTCCAGGGCCGTTTTCGGCTCGAGACTTGGCCGAAGCGGGACTTGCGCGCGAAGCGAATCGGGGCGCAAAGCGAGGCTTGCGAAGCGACTGGTTTTGGGCTAAGTTTCTCACTGGTACTTTGGATGGTTGCGAACTCCGCTTGTCGCGCTACCCAAGAGAGTAAGAAACCACAGTTGAAGACATAAGCCTAAGGTTGGTCCGTGTTTACGTTGGGGAATCGAACCATTGCAGGGTTGAACCACAACGTTTGTTGGAATTTACGTTGGGGAATCGAATGGGAAGCCGTCGGGTTTCCGAAGGGTGGTGCGAAATGGATTTCGATTTCAAGCATCCGCAGTATGTGAACCCCTGGCCTTCGGGAGATATCTACGGTACAAAGCTTCCCGGTTTCTTAACCGAGGGAACCTGGGATTGGTTGTTGAAACACCCAGAAGGGTAGCCTCGAAAAAGGGACATACCCAAATCGGTTGAATAGCGAGTATGTGTTTGTTCTTTCCTTTTCTTTTTTTTCTTCTGGAGACCCGGGTGAACTTCTGAACCCATTTTCGGGCAATGCCGTAGGGTGATAGACGCCAGGTCCCCCGAGAAAACCCGCAGGGCCACTTGAGTGAACGCGAATCTTGCTGGGCCGCCCAGTCGCGCTCGTGTTTTTTTTTTTCAATTCAAGAAGGCGACTGTGACGGCCTGGAAGAACCGGCAGCAACTTGGGCGATTTCTTAGGACCATTTCGCTGGTTTCCCAGCACAGCTGGGGTCAAGGGAACATGGGCTTGCCTTTCCGGAGGTTTTGGACGGAGTCTTACTCAGAGTCATGTGGTTCAGGTTAACGAAATAGGCTGCCTTGGACCCCAAGCAGTGCAATCCAAGCATCCACACGCGCCCCACAGTAGCGTGGAGCCCCAAACCAACCTTTTTGATTATCCTTTTGCTGGACCGTTTGGGCTCCAATTTAAATCGTAGGGGAAGAGTTCCTAAGTGGCTATGACAACACAATCGTGGACGTGAATCCCCAATGATGTCCACCAAAGGGTCTCTAGTGTGCATGGACGAACTCCACTTCGCAGCGCACCTGATTCGATTCCCCTGTAGATATACCCACAAACGTTGTGGTTTCGGCCATGGAACACCTCTTAGGTGCTGCGACCGGATTTCGATTTCAACAGTCAGACACTCGCTTTGGCAAGGCCATGGCAGAGGAGGAGGAGGCGCCAAAGAACGATTTGTTTCTGGGGTAGACTTAGGATACAATTTACATTTGACCAGTGACTCAAAGTGAAGCAAACAATAAAATATGCATTCTACAACTGGGCCCAACTCTCATCGTGGCTTGTTTCTGAAAAGGAACAAATGGGCGCGGTCGTCTTTTTGCCGGGTGCCCTTTTTGGGGTGCCTTTGAAAGGGAAACCAAAAGGACCACCCCCCCCCCAGTTTTGGGGACTAAGGGTGGTTTGTCAAGTGAGGCTTTAAACAGCGACGCCTTGCTTTTACGAGAAAAGGTTTGGTGGTGGTTGGGGGGGAGAGGGCTTTGGGGTGCCAAGGACTGGCTTCATTTGACGCACCTTTCAGAGCTCAACTTTGTTTGGATGTCTCTTCAATTTATGGGAGTTGGTGCCCAACCCTTCTGTTCCTTATCTTCCATACCAGGCTTTCTTTGACGCTCAGGTGTTTCACCCAATGGGAAGGGCGATCCGTTCGATCCGTTTCCGTGCCAGGTCCGGCTCGAGGGAGTCTTTCCAACTCCCACCCCCGGACCCGGCAACATGCGACTTGAGAGGCATAACCCCCCCCCTCCCAAAAAGAAACCAGAAAGAAACTAAAATAATAATAATAAGTGACTGGTGTTTGGAGTGTCCGAATCGCGGAGAGACTTTTCGGTTTCAATCGTGGCTTTTTCACACAGAAGGTGATCGAGCTTTTCTCACACGGAGCCGTTCTTTTGGAGTTTTTGACCCAGCTCCTCCCTGGCAAATAAACGCAAGCGCCACAATGACCGTTTACCCCAAAAAGCAGGTTGGGCTTCTTGGGCTCTATTGATCTGGGGAGTATATCAACCTTTCTGGTCCTTGTCCAAAGCCGAGCTTCTCACCCTTTGGCCTTCTCTCCTCTCTCCCTCCCTCCCTCCCTCCCTCTCTCTCTCTCTCTCTCTCTCTCTCTCTCTCTCTCTCTCTCTCTCTCTCTGTCTTTCTCTTTTTGCACTCATCTCGAGCCAAGGACCCCCAAAACACAAAGCTTTCGTTTGAGGTCCCCAAGAGGTCAGTGCCAACGACGTCCGGCAACACTCGCTTGCCAGGTGAACGCCCTCGCGCGACCATCCAAGGCCGGGAGCGCTTATGTCACCGGTGCCTCGTGTCGACAAGGCGCATGGCTTTGACGTTTTGACGTTGCGCAAGTCGAAGAAGCGACAGCAACAGCCAAGCACAAGGTGGGAACCTGGATGTATTTCTGAGCAACTAGGCTATTCCTGACTATTCGGGAGGTGCTTTTATGCGGTATGCGGCTGACTACATCTGTGAGATCTTTTGGCTGGTCTTTGGTGTGACCCAATTGCCTTGTGGAAACTCGTGGCTTTTCCATGAACCTACAAAAGGTGCGTTCGACCTTTTTGCCTCTGGGGGGAAGAGCAAGGAAGGGCTTTGGGCTTGGCGAAGCCTCAAGTTGCAATGCGCCATGTGGCCATGGTTCAAAACCAATGGGATCCCATTTTGGGATAAGTGTACCACCCATTTTTAGAACCTATTTTCGTGGTGATTGGCTGGGATGTTTACTGGGGGTACGGGGTTTTGACCCATGGCCATCTGTCTTGAGGCGTAGTTTTGGCAACGCGGCAACTTTGGACTGTCGAGGTTTGGAGCCGCTGGTCTCTGAGAAAAGGCATGCGGTCAACGGTTTCCAAAAAGTCCCTGGTGTCTGCAAGGCTGCATTTTGCTTGTGGCCCAACAGGAATGTGTCGCACCTACGCTTCTTCTTCCATTAAATCACCGCTGGCGACTGCGTTGGCTTCACTTTGGCACAAGAGGAGCATTGTCGCACCGCTCAAAATGTTTGGAAAGCTAGGCTAGTGTTGAGCTTTTTTGCTTCAGCAACTTAGGGGGTTGGGGTGGCTTTGGGGATTGGGGATTGTTTTCTTCTCGGATTACTGGGGGCACGTCAATTCTTTGTATATCCTCCTTTGGGTGGTTTTTGAGGGCCCCGCGTTTTAAAGCAAAAATGGCGCCCCTGGGGGATTTCTTTCACGAAGGCGCCACTGGGCTTCTCGGCCGCGGGCTCGGAGAAGCAGTTCCTGAGGCGAGACATGGGCTGGGGACGTCTTTCTTGGCTAGGTCCCCCAGTAGTGCCCTTTTACCCTTTTTGTAGGGTTCCCCTACTAAAATAGACTCCAAAAACAGGGCACCCTCATTCTATCCTCCTACTGGAGGACCTAGTTGGGTAAGGCCGTCTTTCTTGGCCAAAAGAAAGTAGCGGTTCAAATGGTCTTCACCATCACGACCGTTTTTTGTTGAGCTGGAGATCTGGGGCCTGTTGATTGCAGCTCACATGAAATATGGGCGTGTTGTGTTTTCTAGTCCCCCAAAAATGGCGCAACGACTTTCCGTGTGGCTTCAAGCTTCCTGTTGAGAAACCGCCACAAAAAGGGTACCAAGACTGAAAAAGAGAGGAGGCCGCATGGGATCATAGGTGGCCTTTTGGAAAAATAGATGGCCCTGGTAAATGGAATAAACACCATCTAAACCAGGGCCCTCTATTTTTAAGCAAACCAACTGAAAGGGACACCTATTCATGGAATCC